CCTATTGCCTTGAATGGGTTATACTATTCTATATATCTGATAAGCTTTTTAGATCATTATGTTTGAAGAGCAGACAGACTTCTTCTAATAGTATAGGGATATAACCCAGTGGCAAACAATCTCTCTCTTTTAGTTACCTTTTTTCTGATTCCATCCTTACATCTAGGGGAAAGTCACATTTAAACAATGTAGATGAGGTGCAAACCTAACGTTCCATGAAATCCATAAGGGCTTTTGTTGAAATAGCTTTGGGGTAAGAATACTATGCAATCTGTAAATATGTTTATGAATATGCACAAAAGAGAAAAGAAATAAAAGAAGGCAAAGAGATTAGTTAATCGCTTCAATAAAACATAAAATAAACATCACATAGCAATTAAGATAACAACATGACCTTGAATTTTGGATTATCTACAAAAGGTGGGAGGATAAGGCTCTATCTATGGTTGGGCTCTTAAAGTTAACTATATATGATTTGGGTTAATTCTAAAAGGTTCCCAGATTATTCCCTACATCATGGTGACTAGTAAAATACTCCAATCCTCATTCATTATAGGTTACAAAAGAAAATGGTTCAATCTGAGTGGGTGTATTTCACAATCTCATACGAAAATATGAAATCTCACGAGGGCATAGGTACTTCACTCCCTCCTAAAGGTAGAGCCCGGGTGGAGGGCTTATGTTATGCACATGCAAATGTATGATAAATATATATACAATAAATAAATAATTAAGTAAATATGAGTAGGTATACATAAGGAAAATAAATAATAGAGCATATATAAGCAATAAAAAATAATTTCAAACTTATTAAGCAAGGCTTGGATAATAAGAAGTCATTTCATGGCTTGACTCTCAATGTCCCAGTAGAGTCGTCAAACTGTTATAATATATAGATCCGTGGACCTACCGTTAGATTTGGATTAGAGGAGTCACCATCAATCTTTTTTGTCTAGGTGTGATTGACCATCTAATTGAATCTGATCTGTAAAATAGATGTTAGATTCGGGAGTCGATTACGCATGGGAAAAGTTGTAGCACTCCCACAATGCACATCTAAATGATGGTACCAGTTTAATTTTAAATTATCCAAGCTTTGATCATTTTTATGATTTTTGCCAAATAATTTAATATTGAAAATTAACCCTAAAATTATCTTAATAATTTAGTAGCAATCTAGGATAATTCTCTCACCTCAAGAGTATTTATGGAGATTAGTGTTTCACTCTGAAGAGGTTCCATCATCGGATTTATTAATTTTTTTCAAAAAAATTAGTAAAGCCTTCCAATAGTTTGGTAAAACTCACTTCAAAGCACTCCTCCAATAATTTAGAGGATAAAAATTATTATTGTCTATTTAAAACTATTTGTTTCTTTTTTTTTTTTGAAAGATTTTTTTTAAGAATTATTTTTTTATTTTTTTATATATATTTTTTTGTAATGGAAATGGCAGAAATAATTTTTTTAAAAAGTAAAACCTGGAAATAATAAAAAATAGTTTAAAACTAAAATAAAATAAAATAAAATAAAAAATAAAAATAAAATGAAAAAAAGAAAACATGTGATCGGATCGGGTTAAAGCACAGGTCTGCACGCGAGTTACCAGGTTTACGCGGATTCTAGCTTATTTAAAACAACGTTGTTCAACTACAGTATCAAAGTCAAGTTTCAGCATTTTTCTTTAGAAGCATTTTCCTCTTTCTTTCTCTATTGATTTTTCCTCTGTTTTCTCTCTAGAAAATCCACTTGCAAATTCAACTGAAAACTGAGAATCTCATTGGTTTCTAAAAATATCGTCAAAAAATTCAACAAAAAATTAGAAAACCCATCAATTTCTGGAAAACATGTCAAATTCTGAAAATCTAACCGAAATCTCACCGAAAACTTCAACCTTCACCGAAAAATTTCACTGAAAATTTCAGTGTTCTTAAAAAAACCTAGAAAAATAAAAAAACTTTCAAAAAAATCTAAAAAAATCCAAAAAAATTTCTAGATAGCTCTAAACCTTCCCCGAACCCTCTACAACCTTAAATTTTCCTCTAGAAACCTAGAATCACACCAGAACTACAAATTAAATCCAAAACCCCATAATTAACCTTTCAGAACCCTTTATGTCCAAAATTTCCCAGAATTCTCCCAATTTTTCTTTGTGTTTTTGAGTAGAAATTAGTCTAATCTATAGGCATCCTTAAGAATGATTTTAAGAAACGGATATAATTAATCCCAGGCTTGAATCCTGAGATTGCATTTTGTCCATACGAGATTTTAGGTCCAAAATTTTAGCAATCATTGATTGAATATGACCAAAGGATTCTGATCATGATTCATTCTTTTGTGCACATGTGGATTAAAACAAAAAAAGAAAGTAGTAAAAAAAAAAATAAAAAAAATATATAAATATAAATATAAATAAAAAATATAAATATAAATATAAATAATAATAATAATAATAATAATAATACGGTATAATATAATCAACTTAAAAAATCATCTAATTGGACTTGGGCAAGAATTGGCTTAATTGGGCCTAGACGCCAATGGATCTAATCAGGCTTGGATGTCAATGGGCTTGATCAGGCTCGGATGTCAATGGACCCAATTGAGCCCGAATACAAATGAGCTTAGTTGGGCTTGGACTTCAATGATCTACTTGGGCCCAATTAAGCCTAAATGTCGATGGACCTACTTGGGCCGAACACAAGTTGGTGTCTACAGTCATCCATAATCTTTGTCTATTAGGCTTTTATCTTGTGTTATGTAGCAGTGCCTTGTTTTTTTGCGTTTTATGATACTTAAGAAGGCAAGGAAGAGCAGGAATTTGGATTCAAGTCGTTTGATAAATGTTTTTATGGAGTTTTGCTCTAGTGATGAGTTTTATTCTGATATGAAAACAAAATGGTGATATATTTTTGCTTAAAAAGTATTGGAACCCAAATAAGTACGCATGTTTTTAAGCGATTAACTCTGTAACATGCGTATTCTGATGATGAGTGTTTTTTTCAGTGGATTGCAGGTGCCATGTTCATTGTAATTGGTGCACTCATCCCCAGAAAATCAAGCATAGAGAGGAAGGCAAACATTGATTAGATCCATTAATGGTGCTTCATTTACACTGCTTTCTTGTTTTGATGGTATTTAATCATAGGCTTAGTCATAATTTTGGGTTCTTTTGCATGGAAGGGCATTTGAAGAATTGTTTTAGAAAATCTTTCAGTCATCAACCACCAAATTGTTGGTGCTACGTGTTTCCTGTCCTGGCTATATGTTTTTCAACAACCAAATAGATGTTTGCAGTTTTAGCACTAATCAGAATCAGTTGGATTTGCAATTTTCATCCTAATTGTATTTGTCTGGATGTATGACCTATTAAGTGGGGGCTTTGGATTTCACCGCATCTTTAATATGAAGCAATGAAGTTCATCGTAATATCAATTAAATATAAATATTGGTTCCAATTCATTCAACATAAATTTTTTTATAATTTTTTTTTTCAATCGTAACTACAATAATTTATTTTTCGGTAATAACTATAATAACTTTTATTATTATTTTAATTATTATCGGAGCTAATTTCACTACTTATCTAAATAAACTCTAAATCAGTTATGGAGTAATGAATTGAGCTGGAGATTTGTTATAATCACATATGTGATTACTTTTGTCTTTCTCGCAGAAGTTAACATTTAGGATCTTAATCTTGGATCCTTGAGTCCGTGTTCCTTGATGAGCTACCATATCTAATTGCAGGAAACATGAATACAAGGAATAGCAGTAGCAGGCAAGTTCATGGATTGTGGGATTTGCATTAGTCTCCATTCCATAATGAGGAGATCAAAGGGTTTGAGAGGTTACACAGTTTTCTTTTAACTCGTCTACAACACAAAGTTCCTGTATAGCTCTTAGGCATCTGCTTCTGTCGAATTGAAGTCGTGTTAACTGGCGCTGCTTCATGTTTATAACTGTTTATAATTTGCCTTCTCCTGTGATTCTCACGATTATAGACAAAAAGTAATGTTTAAGACAGGGAAGTTTACAAGCTACGTGCAATGCATTGTTGATGAGGGTGGAGCCCTCTTCTGTTTTCTCTTCAATAGTGGGTTTGAAATATCATCCATGATATGATAAAAACATATAACAGATATATTATTTTAAATATTAATAAAATCCGATATAAATTTGATAAAATTAAAAAATATATTTAGTATTTGAGATATTAATATGAATTACGATATATTTAATATAAAATAAATTAAAATATACAAATTACTAAGTTAATCTATTAGTAATCATATATCTTTTTTTTAACCAAAAAATATCCAAAACATTTTCCTCTTTTCTTTCATTATATATATATATATATATATATATATATAAAGACAAGATCTAAAGAGCTCTTAATTATTGAAGTGTTTATTCGATCAATTCAATTAATTTTAAATTGAATTATTTAAAATTGAATTATATTATTTTATTTTTATTAATCGATTTGAATTTTTTAATTTTAAAAATTAATCGATTAAAATCAATTTGATATATTTGATAAATTTTTTTGATTAATCGAATAATAAAATATATTGAGTTAAATTTTATTTTAAATTTTTATTTTTTCGTATATGAAATAAATTAAATAAATCCATCAAACAAAAATATTAAATTAAAAATTTTAATAATTTAAAATAAAATGAACAAATTCATATATTTTTAATTATATATATTTTTTATAATATTTAAATTTAAATTTTGATTAATTGGATTTTTAAATTTAATTAATTAATTAAAAATTAAAACTTTTAAAAATTATTTTGATAATTAATCAAAATTAAATTGATAATCAATTAATTAATTTAATTTAATTAATTTCATTCGTTAATTCAATTAAAACCGATAATACATGCTTAGTAGAAGGTTGGCTAAGTTATGGTCAATGTTTGAACGTCTGGCGAACGGAGCAGTGACAATTTGACGCCCGTTTTAGCTCAAGGCAGCCAATGTAATTGGAGGTTCACATATACGAACTTTGAACGACAGCGTTTTAGAGACTTCAAATTTTCATCAAACGGCTAGGAGCTGGGGAGAGTTCCTAGGCGCTGGTCTTGATTATTGGTGCTACTTGTGAGCTTTTAGCCCACTCGCGGGACAACGTGACAACAGTGGAAAATCAAGAGAGTCAGACATCTGAAAAAAAACCCCTTTAGGACACAAAAAGTAAGGAAAAATTCCTTTGTCTTTTGTTCTTCAATTCTTCCTTTCCACAGATTTTCTATCTTCCCAAATTTATGTTTTGATTCCCATCACTTTACTCTGAAATTCTTCAACTGGTGGGCTTCTTCTTCTTCTTCTCAACTAGACCCACTTTTTTTTTTGTTTGATCAACGGTTTGGCTTTAAAACCATCTTAATTGTTCTTAGTTTTAGTGTTTTCTGCTTTTACTTTAGCTGGTTTTGATTAAGTTTTGTGGTTGGTGCTTTGTGGGAGCAAGGGCAGCTTGGTTTGACTGGCTTCATACTTTTCATTTCTAGGGTTTTAAGCTTGTTTTATGAATTGGGTTGTTTAAAATAGCTTTGGAACTGAGCTTAAGATTATTTTATGTTCTAGCTTGCTGCTAAGATTTAGATGCTTTTGTGGTTTATGGTATTAGCTTAGGAATGGAAAAACATTTTTCTTTTTTTGAGTGTTTTGACTTGTGGAAAATTTTGGCCTTTTAGTTGGTCTTATGAGATAATTGGAAGTCTTTAGTTTTTTGCACATTTATTCAAGTCTTGCCTGAAAATTTTAGCTGCAAATACAAATTTAAGGTAGTAAAGTAGTATACTTTAAGTATTATGTGAAAATTGGTTTTTTAAGTGTCAAATATTGTTATTAGTATCTTTTTATTTACAGAATCTATATTTTAATCCTGGAAGGAAATAAGGGAGGAAAAGGGAAGGTGGTGAGCTTACTTGCATTGGATTTAAAATCGAATTTCAACTATAATTATCAATTATTAAGGCCAGAGTTCTTTTTATGGGTTGATGTCTACACAATTGGCCTCTAGATATAGGGAGAGGAGATGGTTTTGCCTCCAAAGATTCTACTTTGGGAACCCTTTTGACTGATTTGTATGTTTGATACGATGGATAGAGCCATAAGGCTGATTTGCTGAAGGCTAGTTGCCTAATTCAGGGTGATAAACTTGTCGACTAAACTAGGAAATGAATCTTATGGAACGGATAGAATCATTGCTAATAAGTGAAGAATAATTGGTGTTTAAACTTTTGTTTCATTTGTTCTTGATGATGTATTTATGCATCAGTTCCTATTCAGGGAAGATCAACCACCAGAGGATGGGTTTCTGTTCTTCATACACCTTTCCGTGGTAAGAACATAGCATTTTTTGTGGGGTGATATCAGCAATTTTCTAATAGGGGTGGAGTAATTCTTTGCTATTAATAGCATAAGCTGAATAGTTCCCCCTTCCACCTTTTCTGATATACAGGATTTTCTTCTCCCAAAGTGATATGATGCTTACTTGACTGAATACCACCCTCACAGCAGAGTTTTGAAACTTTTTTGTCAACCTCAACAATTTTTTGGGGTCTCCAATGGATGATGGTGGGCATCGTGAAAATGGAAGACTCAAAACAGATCAGTATAGACCAGCTCAGGGTCAGGTATCTTTAGGCTGTTTTTTGCAGATTATAGATACTTGGAGTGATGTAGAATGACATAAATGAATAAAATCCCCTCTGTGATTAATGTGTTCAATTTCAGCATTTTCTGAGAACTTCTGTCCATGATGATAATTTTTACGAGCATTATTGTTGCAGTGGCTGATGCATCAGCCGTCAATGAAGCAGATAATGACCATTATGGCTGAAAGAGATGCAGCTATTCAAGAAAGGAATTTAGCACTATCTGAGAAAAAGGCAGCTATTGCTGAGAGAGATATGGCTTTCTTGCAGCGAGATGCTGCAATTGCTGAGAGAAATAGTGCTATATTGGAACGTGATAATGCCATAGCAAATCTTCAGTATCGAGAGAACTCCTTGGCATCTAGTAATATGTCCTCTTGTCCACCAGGGTGCCAAATCTCGCGTGGGTTGAAGCACATGCAACATCCACAGCAAAACGTTCACCATCTGCCCCACATTAGTGAAGCTCCTTACAATTCAAGGGAAATGCATTCAACTGACACCCTACCAGTGACACCAGGAACCTCTGATGGTACAAAGTCAAGACAGGGTAAACGAGCAAAAGAGGCCAAGGTAATTGCATCTAACAAGAAGGCTTCAAAACCTCCAAAAAAGGTGAAACGAGAGAATGAGGATTTGAATAAGATTATGTTTGGCAAGTCACATGAATGGAAGGGTGGACAAGATGTGGGTGGTGGGGGTGATGATCTCAACAAACAGCTAGTGGCAACCAAGTCCGATCGGAAAGGTCAGGATCTGGGGTTGAATCAAATTGTATTTGATGAATCAACCATGTCACCACCTGTTTGTTCCTGCACTGGAGTCCTTAGACAGTGCTATAAATGGGGAAACGGGGGATGGCAATCTTCATGTTGCACAACCACCTTGTCAATGTATCCTTTGCCAGCAATTCCCAACAAAAAACATGCCCGAATTGGTGGCAGAAAGATGAGTGGAAGTGCTTTCAACAAGCTGCTTAGCCGGCTTGCAGCTGAAGGTCATGATTTATCCAATCCTGTTGACCTTAAGGACCATTGGGCCAAGCATGGGACAAACCGCTACATCACGATCAAGTAGGTTGTTTAAGATGCCAAATGCAAATGGGATAGGTAATGGAGAAATAGAGAAGAGTCATGTGATGCTCATGTTTTTGTCTTTAGTCATTTTAGCAGTGGAGGAAAAATAAATGATTTGAAAATAACCATAGTGAGGATCACTAGGTGGGAAATGCCAACATAATTTGGGGTTTACTTCAAAGTGGCCCCTCAGATCTCTCTCTCTCTCGCCTGCATCGATCCTCCATTAGCATTTTATGAATTGATGTCTGCATTTAGTACAAGTAAGGGGTGACTAGTTGAAGAGAGGATGAAGGATATGACTCATCCATTTTCTTTTCTTCATTTTCTTTGCCACATCCAACCTTGGAAATGATGGGGGTGTCACCTTTCCACTATGTTACCTGTAACTATATTGTGCCTCAAACGTCTTTGTTGTACTTGAATGAAATTTCAGTTTGTAAGCTTAATCAATCCATCCATTTCCTTCCCTAAACGGTATGTCAAGTTGATCATTTTGCTTGGATTCTTGAGATCACGAAACCTAGCCTTTATATCTTCCATCATATGTTTCATGTTTGGTCAGTTTAGATCATTTATCAGTTTTTCTTCCGAGAATCAGGCTTTCTTGTAAAATGATATTGGGATGTCAACTTTTCCGACCACTTTTCCAGGATAAAGGAAAAAAATGTCTGAACTCTGAACCTTTCATCTTTTTTCTTTCAATTTCAAGGTCTGTTCAACATCTTTTTGTAAATCCAAATTTTGATTCATCATCCGAAACATTTTTTTGTTCGGACACAACAGTACTCCAACGCAGACCAGACATGTAAGGGACAAAACATAGATGTTCTGTAATCGAAGTTCATAAAATTTTTTATTAAAAATAAATAAATAAATAATTTAATAAAAATTTTAAATTAATAGATAGATAAAATTTTATATGAATATCAATAATATATAAAAAAAATTAAAAAAATTATATATAATTCAAATTTATTTAATATTTATTCACTGATAAAAACTTTATTAATATTGTAATTAAAAATATTTATTTAATAAATATATCAAAATTTATTAAAATTTCGCATATTTAATTTACGTAATAAAATTTTTTAATTTATTGATTTTATTTTTGATTTATTTATTTTTAATAATAAACTTTATGAATTTTATCGTAAATCTTTTTTGGGAGACCGTTACAAAACTAGTTCAAAGTAATTTAGAAAAAAAAAAAAAAAAAACGTCAATCTATGTCTCAATACAATAGTTCAGTTCAGTCCGTGTCAGATCACAAGATGCCATCGTAACCAAAATCAGCCATGGATAACTAATTTCAACATTTTCTCATCACTCATCGCTCTATAAGAACAAATTAATTAAATAATTTATTATATCTCGTAGTAATCTAAAAAATAAAAATAAAAATCCATGTGTCACCTTTAAATTATAATTTTTATTTTTTTTATCTTTCAACTTCATTAATCGAAATCAAATCGAATTTTATAAAAAATCTTTTTTTTTATTTATAAAATTCAAAATTAAAATCTTATTTAAAAGAAATCAAACCCTTAATATTTAGGCTATAAAAATTGATTAATTTTCAATTTTATTTTTATAATAACGAATCTCAGCGACAATAAAATAAATAAATAATGTAATTTTATAATCCTACTTACTCGAAAAATGGCGGAGATAAAGGAGAAAAGATTGACAAACCGCGTAGTTGAAATAAAATTTCTACCCTTTTCTCACGCGTTTTTTTCTTCTCGCTGGCAAAGAAAATCCAGGTTTGTCTTCTACTAAAACAGAGAACAAAATTTACGGCAATTCGCCTTCACTTCAAAGTCTTTCGTTTAGACTTTTTGGACAGTGTAATCACCGCCACATTTGGGTAGGCGATCATTTTGATTCATTTTGCTTATTTGACCTACTCATTTTCATTCATTGTACTGCAGAAAAGCAAGGGTTTTTGTTAACCAGGTAATATGTTTATAGAAATACTTTGTTTTTTCGTTTTTCTTTTGATTTTTAGATTTTGGGTTTTGTTTTTTGAATTCTTGGTTTTTTTCTGTGTAGCAATTGAAAAAACTATGAAAGAAAATGGAGGGTATCAGTGAGAGTAGAAGTAATATGCAGAAGCTTCAATCTCCACCTTCAAATTCAATCCCCAAGCCTCAAAGCAACTTGGATATACCTATTTTCAATGCCTCTCAAATGGGTTCTTCTTCTTATATGCGTTTGAGTCCTGAGAACAACAATAATAAAAGACCTGGGATACCTCCTTCGCACCCCAACAACCCTGCTGCTTCATTGCCTTATTCACAGATCATTGGTTCTCGTCCCAGTTTACAACAAGGGGCACCGTCTCATTCTAGGTCTTTATCTCAACCCACATTCTTTTCCCTTGATAGCTTGCCCCCATGGAGTCATCCCCCTTATTGCGAGTCTTCCGTCTCGTCTCTCTCCGATCCTAGTTCTAATGATGTTTCTATGGAAGAAAGGGTTGTCAATTCTAATGTTAGGACCTCACTTCCTTCACCTGTTGCTAAAGGAGGTAATGAGTTTCGTGTCGGTGAGACTTCAAGTTTGCCTCCACGTAAAGGACATAGGCGGTCTAGTAGTGATGTTCCATTAGGATTTTCTGCTATGATTCAATCTTCGCCTCAATTGATTCCAATAGGGAGTCATGGAATGTTGGATAGGTCAGTTTCAGGTAGGGAGAGTTCTTCTGGTGTGGAGAAACCGATTCAGTTGGTGAAACGAGAATCGGAATGGAGCAAGGGTCGGGGTAGTAATGTAGAAGTGACGGGTGAGAGGAAAACCGAGGGGGATGTTGCGGATGACTTGTTCAATGCTTTCATGAATTTGGAAAATTTTGAGACATTGAACTCTTCTGGGACTGAGGATAAGGATTTGGATAGCAGAGCTAGCGGCACAAAGACATATGGAGGTGAAAGTAGTGACAATGAAGTCGAGAGTCAAGTAAATGGACAGCCAATCAGTATGGAGGGAATGAGTTCTGCTGTTTCAACTGGGAAGAGGGATGGGGTCAAGCGGAGGGCTGGTGGAGATATTGCTCCAACTGTTAGACATTACAGAAGCTTTTCAATGGATAGTTACATGGGAAGTCTGCAAATTGATGAGGATACACCGAAGATTCCTCCTTTGGGAAATCGGGGGGGTCATCACTCTCCTGGTAGCTCAGCTGATGCAAATTCGAGCAAGTTCAACTTTGAGCTTGGGAGTAGTGAGTTCAGTGAAGCTGAGCTCAAAAAGATCATGGAAAATGAAAAGCTTGCAGATATTGCATCTATGGATCCAAAACGCGCCAAAAGGTTTTGTACATTGCTTCTCCTTCTTCTAGCTTTTCTTCTTTGCTTCTGGTGTTGCATATATTGGGCATAGTTGATGGTTCTGATTTATTCATGACAGGATTTTGGCTAATCGTCAATCAGCTGCTAGGTCCAAGGAGAGGAAGATGCGGTACATTGCAGAATTAGAACACAAGGTGCAAACTTTGCAAACAGAGGCAACCACATTATCTGCACAGCTAACAACATTACAGGTGGGTATAAAGTTATAATAATTGTACCAATTATTACACCTTTTTTCAGGCCTCATTACATACTTAGTTGTTCCTTATCTCATCTTTGTTTGGTCTTCCTTGTTTAGAGGGATTCTGCTGCGCTTACTAGCCAAAACAGTGAGTTAAAATTTCGCCTTCAGGCCATGGAGCAACAAGCCCAACTGAAAGATGGTATATATTTCTGTGTTCTTAAATCTTGTATCATCTGTTTGTGGCCACAAAAAAAAAAAAATCTCATATCATCTGTTTTTTAGAAGTTTCTCAACTGGTGCCTTCCTTGCTTATTATGCATCATTTATCAGTAATTTAAGATCAACATATATCCAGAACTAATTGGAGTTGAAGGAGGTTTAGGTTTACCAGTTGTAGGACTCGTAATGGTCCATTACCATTGATCAAGCTATGCAAAATTTCTTTCTTTTTTCTTTTTAGTTAAAACTACGCAAAGTTTCATGACCATGCAATGCAAGGCATGATTATAAAAGCTTGCTTCGAATTTTGAAGAATGGGTGCTATTTTTGTTATTATGATGATGATTATAGTATCATAACGAAGACTAAATGAAAGATGTTTGAAGAGAATCAAATTGTTTTGATTTTTTGTGGCTAGGCTTTGATCTCTGTTCTTCATTTTAACTGTTAGGGCACTATATATATGAGTATGATTGACGCAGGTTAATTGGGTTGCTTTTGACTTTCCTTTTTATTTGTTAATGTAGCTTAACTATGCTAATGACACATTTGTATTTTGAACTAAAACAGTAGTCTTCTTTATGGGTTTGGTGTGGCAGCACTAAATGAAGCATTAGCTGCTGAAGTCCAGCGACTGAAGCTCGCTCCACCAGAGCTCAGTGGAGAGGCTCATCTTTCAAACTGCATGGCTCAGCAGCTTTCCCTTAATCATCCAATATTCCAGTTACAGCCTCAGCAGCTAAATGTTTATCAGATGCAGCTGCAGCAGCAACACCAACAACCACAGCACAGTCAGCATAACCAGTTGCAGTCCCAGCAACAAAATGGTGATCCTACTGCAAATGAATCGAACTGATGATGAAAGTCCTTCAGCTTCTGTGTGCAGCCAAAATATCGTATCAGAACTGGATTTGAAAGAACAGTGATCGTATAGAGGTTTCTACATCTATTATATCTATTTTATTTATTCTATTAAACTTGACCATTATTTTGTTCATTGGGTGCGTTGTCATGCCAAGCCAGTGGAGAGTTGAAGCTAAACTCTACCCCTGTTGATTCATTTATCTTAGACACAAACAACCTCAAGCATTATTTATATTTGATAGTTATATTTTACTTTTCTCAGCCTGTAATGACTACATATTCTGCTATAACCTTGGAATTTTATCATAAATTTAGAGATGTTACCAGTACTTTAATTTGATTCTATGTTTTTATTCCCTTTTGCAACGACAACGGGTGACTAATCTCATTCATGGTCAAGCTCCTTCGTGCCATTGCTTCCTCTGTTTTATATAGTTCCATCCTTGCTATGCATTTGATATGCCGATTTAGATTGGTGTTTGATCAAGAGCCAAGACTAAATATACCAAGGAGAAGGGGGAAAAGCAAAATCTATGTTGGTTTTATCATATCAAATTTGATTCATCACCGAAAGAAAAACCCAATGCTTTTTCTTGATTAAACTTATATTTTAAAATATAATATGATGATATGAATAAATATGAAAGTAATATGATTTAAAATTTTATTAATAATTATATATTATATAGGTTTAACAAAATAAAATATATATAACTCGTAACTTTTATATAAAAAATAATATTAATATATAAATTTCAATAATTTACATGATATTACCGTGCAAATCTTCAAATCTACTCTAGATTTTGGACTTTCAAAACCGAAAGAGAAACACAAATCTTAGGTAGTCAGTGCTGGACTAGTTACATCCCAATGGAATCAGTGGCCCAGCTCTGGTTCTTCTTCTGGCGCGATTGTTAGTAATCATGATTTATAATTAAAAAAGAGAAAAGAAAAGGTGGAAGAGCAACAAAATCTATCAAGCTACTTGCCATTCTTTCTCGCTCTCCATAAATTCGTTTCACCTACTATTCTTGGAAACCCCAAACAATCCCTTTGTATCTGAGCTTTTAAATATTTCACTTCCCTTTTTTTGAATTAGGGTTCCGATTCCTCCCTTCTTTCACATTTCTGCTTAAACCCTGCTCGGCTCGATCTCCTACTTACTAGCCGTTGTACCCCCTTTCCCGCCAAATTTGAACTTCATCTGGGACCGTACATTCCTTTTCAAATATGAGCCGTTAGATTGCCCCACATTCGCTCATATTTTTGGTCAAAATTTTGAATTTTGTGTCGTCCGGGAATGTCGGCGGCCGAAGCGGAGAAGAAGGTGGAGGAGAAAGGGGAAGAGAAGAAGAAAGGCGGAGAGCTCTTGTTCTGTGGCTCTACATGTTGGGACATCGTTGGTCGCCGCAAAGGTGCAGTTGAAGGCAACTTGGTATTTCCCACTCGCCTCTGCCCCCTCGTCGGTGTTGACATCCAGTTCGTTGCCTCCGGTTGCGGTGAGTTCATAGCTTTTAAATACACACCTACTCATTTACATTTGAAAGCTTTTTTTTTTTTTAATATTTATTTTTTATTGCAGTGTCGTGTCATTGTGTTGCATTGGATGTTGAAGGGCGATGCTACACGTGGGGTCGCAATGAGGCATGAAAAACTCAGCATTTTTAATGTTGTTTTTGTAAAATGCATGTGGTTGATTTTATGCTAATTGGGTTAATATTAGTTGACAAACCTTTATCTTTTATGTATAGAAAGGGCAACTTGGTCATGGAGATACAATCCAGCGTGATAGGCTAACTGTTGTTTCTGAACTCTCAAAGTATGTCCATTTGTTATGTTGTTATTAAAATTAGTCATGTCTTTATTTATTTAATTTTCTGACATTTTGATTAACTTTACTCTGTTTTATCTTTTTTGAAAGGTATAAAATAATTAAAGCGGGAACAGGAAGGAGCCATACGGTGGTAGTTACTGATGAGGGTAATTCATTGGCCTTTGGCTGGAATAAACATGGGCAGCTTGGTTCATGTTCCACTAGAAATGGTTTGTTCTGTTGAATTTGATTATAGCTAGTACTCTTGTATTCAAGATGTTATGGTTCTAGTTTTCTTCGTTGTTAAATTCTTATTGATAATTTTTTATCTCTTTGAATGCATTCTTCTATTACATAATGACATTTTACATTGAACTTTTTCTTCATTTATTTATCTTTAATTTTTTTGTAGAAATTGAGTCATCTCCCGTGCGCTGTCTGGGGTCTCATGTCACAATAACTCTGTGGAGCAGACTTCACTGTTTGGTTATCATCTGTTGAAGGAGCTTCAATACAGTATGGTTTGTGGTTCTGTTTAGTTCCATTGCGTATTTTCATGCTCTCTAGTTCCTGATTTTCATTCTTTTTCACTGGTTAGCACACTTGTTTCTTGGTTTGTAGAACTGCAGGGCTTCCACAGTACGGTCAGCTTGGGCATGGAACAGAAAATGAGGTATGTGGGGTGCATATTTGTGCTGCAGCATTACTCACAGAATTATGCTGGCTGAACATGATAATTACCCAAAGTTTCGGCCATGCTAACACAGCTTCTGTTTTTTGTTTGTTTGTCTCTGTTCCTGTTGAATTTATACTTTGGATGAAAAATTGTTTGAGTAATTGTAATCAAGGGAGCATAGCAATATGACCCCATGCAATAATGTTTTTAGATAATATTTTAATTGTGACATGTTCTGAATCTCTGGATTGCTTTTTGTAACTGAAATATCTTAATATTTTACTAACTCACCTTATTAGTGTCTGTTGTCCAATAATAATTTTTGCTGCATTTGTTCATGGTGCTTAGGAAATAAGAACTGCATGCATATAATATTACCATCAGGAGACCTTTTTTTTTCAGTTGGTTTCTTTGCTAATTTCATGATGATTTTCTTGTTCCAAAACTCTTTATGTGTTATTTGATGCCTATGGTACTTTGCTCCGTGTGACAAACATTATGTGTAAATGTTGTTTTTCTCTCTGATGTTATCTAATACATATAAGCAGTCCCTTAGACCTTGACTAACCTAGTTGCTAGCCTTTGTAAATTTATCATTTGACTAACTTGCTTTTCCCATGGATATTTACATGGTACTTATATGCTTGCAGTACAATTCTAAAGATAGCTCAGTGAGGCTTGTTTATGAAGCCCAACCTCGCCCTAGAGCTATAGCTACACTTGCTGGGGAAACTATTGTCAAAGTTGCTTGTGGGACAAACCATACAGGTTCATGATATGCCTCCTCTATCATCTAGTGTTACCCCCCCTCCCGTTCCCCTCCCCTCTTCTTTTTCTTTAACATTTCTCATTGTTTAGTTCTCTAATTTGTACATCCAGTTGCTGCAGGTAAGAATGGCTATGTTTACACGTAAGTTCACTGTTAATTATTGTGTTTAAAGGTTTTAGATTTCCCTTTTATTATCCTTGTTCATAAAAAATTTACTTTTGTAGTTTGAATGCCTAGGTGGGACTTTGGTGGTTATGGAAGGTTTGTAACAATATACACGCTGCTGTTGACTACTACATTGTTGCAGTATTTGATGTTTTTTACAAGGCTTAATTCCTTTTTGCCTACTTATTAAGTCTTTCCCTTTCTAAATCATACATGTAATACCTTTATTACTGATATACAGGCTTGGGCACAGAGAGCAGAAGGATGAATGGGTTCCTCATCGTGTTGATGTGTTCCAGAAGCACAATGTTCTTCCTCCTGATGCAATTGTTTCAGCTGGTTCTGTAAATTCAGCATGCACTGCAGGTTTCGTTTATGATGTAATTTGTGGCTGGAATCTAATAGCTGGTTGCTAAAACTCCTGATTTATAGGAAAAGTTTAAACTTTTTTCATTTTTTATGAAGGGCGAAGTAGGAGTTAAAGGAAAGGTGATGAGGCTGCTGTTTATAGATTTCAGGTTCTTGGATTTTAAGAAAATGAAGCTAGACTCCTGGAAACTCTTAGATCTATATAAAATTGATTAGATTGAAATGCTTTTAGGGTGCTTAATTTTAGGAAATTAAACTTGTGCCCATGAACTGTTGCAACCCTCGAAGGTTTTAGATACGTTGTCTATATTTCCTCTTGGCTTAAATGTTTTTAAAATCAAAGTTTAGTTTCGTTATGGCTTGTTTTCCAGGTGGGGGGCAGTTGTATATGTGGGGCAAAATAAAGAATACTGGTGATGACTGGATGTATCCTAAACCTCTCAAGGATTTAAGGTTCTGCCCTGTGCCTTGGTTATGTTATACTTTTACCCTAATGATAATTTTTTCTACTTGCATCATGATGAGTGACTGATTTGCTTTTGGTTTCAATGTATCAGCATTGTTTTGTTTTTACAGATCTTGGTTACTATTTCTTTTTCCTTCCCTTTCAATGAAGAATTCCACCCTATTTTGTATAGCTATAATCATCCAGTTTTACACGAAGCTTTCTTATAATATACTGTTTAGCTTAGCTTAGAAGCTTCTGCCTTTTGGTTGCAATATTTTCTATGCTTTTTTAGCATGTTACGTTTCCTTAGTTGTGTTCTTCTCAAGAGAATGAGTGAAATTATTAATTTGATCATAGTGGCATCATTTTAATTGATTTGTTATTTTATTCTGTTTATTTTGGTTTTGTGCGTTATGTGAAGTTTTATGGTATCTTAGAGAGTTGAAGTCAATTAAACTTCAAGCCACTGGTTTTAGTCAGTAACACACGTTGTCTGAGACACATTTATTGGTCCCCTTTTTTTCCCAGTGGTTGGAATTTACATTGCATGGATTCTGGCAATATGCACCATTTTGTTGGTGCAGATGTCTCCTGCATAAGTTGGGGCCACGCTAGTATGGAGAGTTGGGATATGGTCCCAAGGGTCAAAAGTATGTGTTCTTACTTATCATAACAAAAAAATAATAATAATAATCTTTTGAGTCTCTCTTCTATTGTATTTACTTAATCTTGTGTCTTCTTTCTAGGTCTTCAGCAGTTCCCAAGAAAGTAAACATTTTGGAGGGCATGCATGTTATCAGGTGGATATAAAGTAAATTCATGAACCTATAATACTACGTGCTGTGAATTTTCTCTTGACAGGAAGGTACTGATGAGTTTTTTCTTTTATATCTCTGTATAGTGTTTGCATGCGGTGTGGGTCATTCAATAGTCATTGTTGATAGAACGAATGTCAGTGACCAACTTGATCAAGTAAATTTGTGAAGTTACTGAAAGTTTCCACTTTTCTTGTATTAGACATCAAGTACCTTCTTTACACTATATGGTGCACCTTCAATATCGAGTTTGAAACAGCGAGATGTCAAACACATACTCGTACATTTTCCATAGAATTTCTTGCACTACCTGCTGCTTTTATTAATGTTGAGATACTGAAATATAAAGGCTTATGTTTAAACCTTTTATGTCTTTTACAGCTGGATATTTATGACGGCAAAACTTGTGGTGAAGGTATGTGTTGGGGGTTTATGGTGTCTCTGTCTTGGTAGCTTCACAATTTTCAACTAATTGGGGCTAAAGGGTTTCTGTAGTTAACATTACTAAATCAGATTGTTGCCTTATATTGTCTGATTGACCATTATTGAATTTGAAGTTATGAGAGTTTGACATGGACACTGATGTATAAATTACTTAAAACTTCAGGGCCTGAGGTACACGATGCCAAAACCCCAGTTCCTAAGCAAAGTAACAAAAAAGTTTCCGGTAAAACTCCCGATGACTCAAAAGAAACGGAAGAAATCAAACGATTCGTCCGACTCAGAGGAAGAAGAGAGTAGGAATGTTGGCAGTGATATCAGTGGAGAACACGTCAATGCTAAGGCCTCTGTCAAAGGCCGAGGTTAAGGGTGCTAATAAGTCCACTTCAGAAGGAAAAGGTACTAGACATAGATGACGTCGCCCTCCTGCAAACAAAAGTTTGCAGTCCTCTCAAGGAAAAACAGGTAAGAGAGGACGGTCGCGAAAGTCCCAAGTGTCCGTTGGGAAATTTTGTTGATGTCAACACTTTAATTGTTTTGGTCAAGAGCAGTGATATAATCTATTTTTAGATGGCAGCTTGCACCCTTTTATTGACGGGAAATCTTAATCGTTTACACCTTATAACTATATATAGATATATAGATATGAAATTTGACGAGAACCAATGCATTGTTGGCTCAAATGTCTCCTTTTTGTTATCTTTATAATCTAGTTTCAAATTATTCAGGTTCAAATTTGTCGGGAGGTTGTGTAAAAATAATTTTTCATTAATTTGTTAGATTTGATATAAATAAATGTGTTTGGATTGATTTTGTTGGACAAAATTCAGAAATCTGTTGAAGTTAAATTAAAAAAAAAATTTGATGAGAACAAAAGTATCCAAAACATTTGAACAGAACATCTCAAAGAAGTTTTCCTTGGCTATGCTACTATTATCCATGTTAAGAAAAAAAATTGATCTTAATTACCAACTTTTTCGTCATGATTAATGATTAATTTTCCACTGAAATAGATATATCTTATTGTCCTTGGTTGGCTGCTCCATTTTGTCATTATCAACTTACTTTGGGATCCCTATCATAAAGATGAATCTGTCCGAACCAGAAGCAGACGATTAGAACATGTCGAACAGTGCAAAATTTTAAGTTGTCGTGGTAATGTTGTGGAGCACATTGTGGTTAAGATGTCTTCATGAAGAGGGACCATTTCTGAACCATTTCCTCACGCAATTTTGCTTCGAAAGTGAAGCATAAAAGCTGCGAGGAAGCATCAGTTGCTCTCAATTGCATTACTGACTTCTCTTTCAACAAGGGCTTTGTTTTGGGAACAAGGTTAAAAACTACAAGGCCCCATACAACCTAATGCTGTTTCCAGTCAGGACAGACAGATTGTGGGGTGCTTTCGCCCTGTGGAACCAAGCTCTCAAGGTCCTTAGGCCCAGACCAAAGTATTGGACAATATTAATCTATTTAATTTTGACTAGGATTAGTAGGTAATTAATGAACATACCTACTTATAATTTTGAGGAAAATATCAATTTAGGACCTTTTATATAAATAAATATATATATATCCCCTTTAAAGCTCTCTAATTCTTATACTTTTGGAGATGGAGGCCACGCCCATACTGGATTCTTGGTACGGCTTGTCCCTCATTGATGCAAAAGAATGAATGGGATTGATAAATTTTTTAAATGCAAATGCTTACATAGATTGAAATTGTTACATAATTGGGAAATACGAAATATGTTTGAATGTAAAATTTTTATTGTATATCTCTCCTCCACATGTGAGAAGGGCTCCACCACGTAACCTCAAAAGGGGACCCGGGGAATGGTGGGCAGTCAATGAGCCGTTGTACCTGATATGCCTCCTAGTTGATTGCTGAAATAATTCTCCACCTAAGTGATAAAATGGCAAGCATCGAATTTGGCCTCGTTTGATTGAGATGCTGTGAAAAAAGTTGGATCAAAGGGAAGAAAATGTAGTTTTACTACTAAAGAAATGGTTGTTAAAGAGGTGGGTGTGATTTATTTCTCCATTGATGGAAACCAATGAGAAGGATTGGAGACCATGCAATTTAGAAAAAATGTAACAGTTGAATGACATTGAAATCAAAGAAATAAAATGATTTGTAGTTTGATTTTATTGGTATAAACAATGATTAGAAAAGAGAAATTCTAAAAGATCCAAAAGCAAAGCATGTAAGATAAGAATAAGCACTTTTTACAGCTTGGTTTAGAAAAGATAAGAAGAGAGACTAATAAATGGTTGATTTTATAATTAAGGCCCTTTCTTTTTTTGGTACTTATATATGGTGCTGAAGTTAAGAATCGATGATGAAGAATGATTAGACTAATCAGACTTGATTAATCCTTAAGCAGCTAACTAAAAAAAGAGCATTATTTGGTGGTGTCCCACTTTGACAGATATCTGGCCATGGCATCCAACTTGCAGCAGCCAAACATGGCATATGCCTGGAGCAGGCGCAGGCAGATAGATCATCGATCCTTATACGAATTCAGGGTAGCATGTGCTCATACGTGTCATCCACCCACATTTACCACTTGGCAATGAAAGACAAAGGAGCTGTCATAGGGTTGGTTACAAAAAAAAGACATGATTGGATACATAGTTAGATACCATTAGTTGATGGGTTTAGTTCTTGTAGTATTTTGTGAGAGGGATTACTCAGACAACCTTCGTTGCTTACATTATTGATGTGTACATTTTGGAGGGAGGAAATTGTAATTTAAATCACCAAATTAATCATATTAAATGCATTAATTAAAGGATAGACCCATAAATCCATGGAATAAGTCAAAATGATTATTTTCATTTAATTTTTATTAAGAAAAAGCAAGTGTGGAGATCTGACAGCTTTTTGATTCGTCTCTCTCAACGAGCAATGAGAGAGAGAGATGTAAAGGGAAAGATCAGATGATAAGTGGCGGATTCCAAATTAAAGCAGTAACTAGATTTAAGGAGTGTGTTTGAGGTCCGCGTTTCCTTTTCTTTCTGTCTTTGTTGGAATGTCCAACACCAAACCACACCGCAAATATTAGGCTGTCTCGTCTCTTACAGTCGACAGAGTTTAAGAGTGAGCGAGAGAAAAAATAAAAAAAAAGAAAAGAAAAGAAACATGGGAAGATCCCCTTCCTGTTTCAAAATCATCGCTTGCGGCAGCGATTCTGCTGAAAAAGACGACGCTTTTGATATTCCTGAGGTATATTCTTCACTCTCATATCATTGCCGTTTTTCTCTTTGTTGTTTTGCGTTCTATTTCGACTTACATTTGATGTTTTAGTTACTTACTTTAGTTGAAGTTTCAGTTTTTAACAGTCGTTTCCCTTTTTTTTTTTGGTTGCTCTGTTTAACTCGTGGATTTGCTTGTGGAATTGGAGTTTTGAAACTTGACGTACTTCATTTTAAGATCTGAGAAATCTTAGGCTTTGCATTTATATCACCAATGTAAAAGCTGCCTTTTAATTCTGATTGCTTCCAGAATTTATGAATGCTGTTCTTTTTCTTTTTTTTTAGTTTACAGGTTTCAAATCTAGCAAGGTTTTAAAAGCTTGTTCTCTTTTAAGTGGTTTTTCCAGATATGTAAGAACAAAATGTGTTATGGGTTTATTTACCTTTTAATGGCATTGGTGATTGGAAATGTCTGATAATTTTCAATTTCGGAAACTTATTGTGTTCCTGTTTTGTATTTTCATTTGTTTGGTAGATACAATGGTCCATCATTCATTCATTTGTCTCTTAGACAAATGACAGTTCAGTACTGATATGCCCTTGTTGGGACTCCATAGCCCTTGATGGAATTCAATTGAATAGGGGTTCTTACAAGCTGAATAAAGCAATACGTTCAGGTCTAGGATTTAGAGTCAAGAACATTTTAATTCATTTAAAATAGAGCAATTATTTTGTTTATATCTCTCGTTCTTTTCTCCTTCTCTCCTTAAGCGGAATTATGCTGTTTAAATTTCATTACAGAACAAGAGATCAAGTGACCGAAAGGGGTGGAGTTTTCGGAAGAGATCTGAGCAGCAGCAGGTTCTTAGCAACACTGTGATAGAAGAAGCTCCTTCTGGGATTAAGGAAAGTGCAGAATCTGCTGTTTCTAATTTTCAACAACCAGATATCTCCGTCACACCTGAGAAAATCTCCACCATTCAATACACTGAAGAGAAACCTCAGTTGCTGTCACCAAAAGAGTACATTGAAGAAAATTCTCAGTTGGTAGCACCAAAAGAGTACATTGAAGAAAAATCTCAGTTGCTGACACCAATAGAATACACTGAAGAAAAATCTCAGTTGCTGACACCAACAGAATACACTGAAGAAAAATCTCAGTTGTTGATCCCAGAGGACTCAAAAGTGCATGAACCTGTTTCTGCCTCCACAAACGAGGCTGAAGATGATGCCAACCTGGATGAATCTGTTGTTGTTATCATCCAGACTGCTATCAGAGGGTTCTTGGTATAGTTTCTTTCTCAATGCCAATTTAAAACTTACTAATTGGTAACTTTTCTTACTTTTTATCTTATGGTCTCATTTGCAGGCGCAGAAAGAGCTAGGAAAGCTTAAGAATTTAGTAAAGTTGCAGGCTGCCGTACGAGGGCACTTAGTTCGAAGGCACGCTGTGGGAACCTTACGATGCGTTCAAGCCATTGTCAAAGTGCAAGTTCTTGTTCGTGCTCGTCTATCTCAAGAAGGGTCTTATGCTGAAAAGAAGCTGGATCACAAGAATAATGCCAGTCAAAGTTTGGTAATTCTTTCAGCTCACATTAATCATTAGCCTTGTGTTCTGGTTCCGATTTTATTGATAGGTGGCATGCTAGCTTCCACTCTCAAGAAACCTTTTATGTATTATTACAATTTGCCTTATATTCTTTGAATCTATAGCTATGTTCTCTTTATTGACCCATGTCCTGTGTCTTTGATGGCATTAAGATTTAGGCATGATTCCTTTACTTTATGCAGCTTCTTTCCGGTTCAATTAAAGGGTATGGGATGGTGTTGCTTAGATAGCTGCTCATAATTAAGAGTTCATTCTATGAGCATGTTTTATTTTCAAGCATGAAGTTTCTAGGTGATCCTCAAAGACCTCTGGGAATGCCACTCCCGGCCTCCTGGCACAAATCTAAGTGTAAAGAAGGGCCTGTGGAGAGTGAGTTCAATCTGTAATTTGCACGATCTTACTGTTCAGTTACCGTTTCAGAGGGAGATGCAAGTATCATATAGTATTGTGTTTACTTTCTGACTAGCTTTACAAGGCATTCAGAAATTATGGGCTAGTGGTCCTACAGCCCATGGTGTTCGTTTAATTAATTTCTTTTTACATGACAGCAGGATGCACTAAATCACTTAGAAACATATAGCAAACAATATCACCCAATTCTTTTGATGGTCCTGAAGGAGAAAATTTTGCATTATGTGTTACTTTCAATTATTGCTATCCTCAGATAATTTTACTATTCTTTCTTTTATTACTGAAGAAGGGAAGCTCAACAACAAAACAAAATGCAACTTACACTTCCATAGAGAAGCTGCTTAGCAATAGATTTGCTCGTAAGGTATGTTAAGTCGACATTCTTTAGCTTCATGTTTTTAACTATTTGCTGGTATCTGTCTCTCAAACTATGTCTACCCAACCATACTCAGAATTTGTTTTGATTGCAGCTGATCGATTCAACACCCAAGACCAAACCTATCCACATAAAATGTGATCCATCAAAACCGAATTCTGCTTGGAGTTGGTTGGAGAGATGGATGTCTGTGTCATCATCTGAAAAGGCAGCACCAGCAGACTTACCTATTGAACAACGAGAAAGGGAGATAAGGGACGGTTGTGACTCTCCAATTGATGCTAAAGTTCCATCTGAAGCTATTTCTGAGTCAAATGAACCAAAGTCTGATGTAAGGGACATGTTGGTTTCATCAGAGAGTGAAGAGAATCTGATCACCTATGATGCAACCAACTTTAAGATTGAGGCATGCCAGCCAACTTCCTCTTCAGTAACGGATGATTTGGAGCATCCTCAGATTGACAACTTGAGTACATCCAACCTAAAAGAGACCTCACAGGATCAAACAATGCAAACAGATGCACATCCTCAAACAGAGGACTGTCTTTCTCACAAGCCTGAAATTGAGAGTGAACAACCCAAACGTTCTATGAAAAGATTTGCTTCTGAACAACTGGAAACAGAGGCAAAGAAATTTGTTGTATTTGGATCAAGAAAGGCAAGTAATCCTGCATTTATTGCTGCACAAACAAAATTTGAGGAATTGAGTTTAACAGCCAATTCAAGTAAATCAATTAATTCATCCCACCAAGATGTTGGAATTGAATCAAACATGGATACTGTGTCATCCGGGGCAGATACAATAAGCAGGTCCAAGGAGCCAAGCATCACAGAAAATCCAGTCCTCAATAATTGGAGGGTTGAACATTGTGGTTCTGAATGCGGCACTGAGCTTTCTGTTACTTCCACTTTTGATTCACCTGATAGATCTGAAGTTGGAACCATAGAATATGAACATGTAGCCAAAGTCTCTGAGCAAGAAAATTGCAGTTCTAACAGTACTAAGGATTTGGATGTCAAAGAAAATGATTCATTTGCAATCCCGCTGCCCGATTCTTCTCTCTCTGTTGTTGAGCAGCCCAAGAAACTAGATGATGCTGTAGGTGAATCGGCCAATTTAATTGTTGTAGACTCTCCTCAAGTAGAACAGAAGCCACTGAAGAGCACATCTGATCTGCAGAGAGAACGGGACTCTGAGACAGGTAATCAAACATTTAGGTCATCCCCAGAAGCCTCTCCTAGGAGCCATATGACTGTTCCAGAATCCCAAGGAACACCTTCTAGTCAGGTTTCAGTGAAAACTAAAAAGAAAAGAACTGACAAGAGTGGTCAAAAGCGCGAGTCCTTGTCTGCTGCCAAGGGTTCTCCATCAACTCCTGCTCATGATAGTGGTGCAAGTAGCATGGAACAATTGTCCAAAGATCAGGAAAATGGGAAGAGGTGCAATTCTTTTGGTTCAACAAGACCTGAGAACATTGATGAGGAGCCAAGAGTTAGTAACAGTAGCAATTCACTTCCCCATTTCATGCAAGCCACAGAATCTGCAAGAGCTAAGGTTAATGCAAATAACTCGCCAAGATCAAGTCCAGATGTGCAAGACAAAGACATTTATATCAAGAAGAGACGTTCCTTAGCTGGTGCTAATGGGAAGCAGGGTTCTCCAAGAATCCAGCAATCAATGTCTAAAGCACAGCAGGGTGCAAAAGGAAATGGTACCAATCCTCTTCATGGTATGTTCTAAACTTTATTATTATCTTACATTGTTAACCTTGCTAATATCTGGTCAGTATCTATTTTTGCCAGCTTAAAAGTACATTACGTCCGGACATTCTTCATTTTTCTTTCAAAGGATATTGTACATTTTATACAAGTAATTGAGCTTCTCAGTAGTTGATCTTCATAATTATTCAAGCATACCAGATGACCTCTATTTGTTAGCAATAACTTTTGTTAAGCTTTTTAATACGTGAAGGTCTTTACTTGTTTCTCCTTGTTGGTACACTTGTTCATATTCATTTAGCAGAATGTATGCTGTCATGACATGCTTCCTTGTGGCATTTTTGGTGGGCTAGAAATTGTTGGGCCTTTAGGTTTCCATTCTGGTCGTTGTTAGGAAATAGAGGTTTTCACATTAATGACTTATGCTTAACTGCTTGTATCATGTTTGTTTCAGAGAAAAGATGGCAAAGATGAAGGGTTATTCGGAGCAAACCATACGCCAAGCCAAGGTACCATGGTATTCAACCTCTCAGATTGAAAAAGTGGAGCTGATTGTTGGTCTTACTATCTAGTTTTATGCCCTCAGCGTTTCGCCATTTCAGTTGATTCGTGCAAGCCATCTAGGGTTTGGCAAGGGAATATATATATGTATATATATATATATATATATATATATTCTTGTATATTAATAGTACCAAAACATTGATATATTGTTATTATTTTCTGAACTTTGGGTCTTGGGGTATGCTTGTGTGTTTGTTCAAGAGTGTTTGGTGTGATAATATTTCGGAGTTTGAGACAATGACTGTAAATTGGGGAGCTTTAGAAAGGGCTTTTGATCACTCTTTCCTGTAATAATCCGGCCGTTCTCTGTTGTTGGATCGGCAATGGCCACACCTCCATGACTAATTCTTATTATTGATTAATTCTATAAAACACGTTTTGACTTTTAACTTTCATTCCTGCCCAGCTCTGCTTTACAAACAAAAGTTCGGGATTGCGCTCGTAACCGTATCCATTTTCATCGTGTCGTTTCATCATTTAACTCAAAAATAAGGATACTGTGGTCAGAATCTCAACTTCTCAGCGCCCGCACTTGCATTTACAGCGCGTGTAATTACAACATGACCAAAACCACCGTCCCTCCAATTCCACGCGTCAAAGACTGCGTGTGCAAGCGCTCACTCAACAGTCAGCACACAATCGCCCCAAGCCCAGAAAATGTATTTAAAAGAGAAACGGGGAAAAAATAAGTTAAAAAACGGCATGGCAGAAAAAAAGGCAGGATCTAGGGTTACGTTGGATCTCTCTGTTTCGATTTATTAGATAATTAGATATAGATATGTAGGTCTTTTTAATCGACTAGTTTTTTGTTTATCTTATAATTAGGGTTTTCGAGACGGGTCAGTTGATTTAAAGGCTGAGACTCTTTTCTTTTCTTTTTTTGGGACCGTAGTGTTGGATTTAGGGTTTTAATCGATCGAACCCTAAAATCGATGATTTTGGGAATTGGACTGTGACATTTTTACTGAGAATCGAAGCTGGAAATGAAGGATTTTTGAGAGATTTTTAACTGAATATATAATATGTTGTATTTTTGTGATTTGTAAATATGCGAAGAGTGCACAAATCGAAAAGGCTTACTTGGGCACCGGATGTTAACCTTTGTCAGGTAAAACTTGCAATTTTACTTTCGAAATTCCTAAATTTTAAGTTAAAGTGAATAAAAAATATTGGAGAATGAAGCTATGTGAACCCCTCTTGTTATGCTGTTTTTTGGGTTTTTTTTAATAATATTTTTATCCGTTACTCTGTGTTTTGAATTACATTTGAACTTTTCTGGTGCTTAATTTAGCTCATTTTTAGTATTCTTGTAAGGCATTATACCGAATGTGTTTATCATTTGGCGATGGCATTGCTCTATGAAGCCTTTAAGGGGTATGTTATGATGGGCTGTTTTTTTTCTCTTTTTTTTCTTTTTCAATGGTATTTATGGCTAATTTAGTTTTTATACTTTTTTGGAACTGTAGTATTGGGAATAAATCTGTCAATAGAGTTTGGAAGTTTGTCATGCTAATTAGACACAGAAATGAATGGTAAAAGACTTTGACTTTTAGCTTATTCAAACAATGCTAATGAAGATAAATATATACCACTGGTTAGCATCCTTGGGTTGTGATGCTTCCTTTCATATAATGTTCTTCTATGCAGAACTCGAGAAAACATAACAAGAGTACCACTGTAAAATCTCCATGTAGTTTGATTAGGACACATGTTAAGTTAATGAATATATATCATATTGCTTTAGTCTGAAGTCTCGACTTTATATTGTTGCTTTTAGTTATAAGAAAGGCTTCCAATTTGTGGTTTGTGTCCTTTTTCATTTTTATCGATAACCTTTTTCATGTATGATGGTTAACTATCTTTCCAAAGTGTCTTAATTATTTTACTTTTGTCCTGAGTCCTCGACAATTTGAAAGAATCTTCAGTTTCCTTTGGAGAAGTTCCCTTTTGGGTATCTCTAATTCATAGATGCACAAGGTTTTTTACAAATTGAAAGGGCATGCACATATACAGCGACCATAGGTGGATAAAGAGTCTTTTTTGTTTCATCCTAAGATCTTCAATTGAAAGTCTGAACTAATTTGAAATGAACTTTTACTCTTGTTTGATGTGAGATTTCAGAAATGTCCTCTCTCAAAGGTCCCTGTGACCGAAAAGGGGCAATCCAGTAAGTTGAGTAAGAAAGAAGGTCTAACTTTGTTCTCTAACGATTCAAATAGTGAGAGTGAAGAAAACAGTTTTTACTTGGTAGATAGGCTGAGTTCACCTCACAAACATCACAAATAGCTGATCTCACTGTCTTATCCTGATCTTACAGCAAAGAGACTAATTTATATGTTGGTTGGTAACATGTATCTGATTCTAAAAGATTTGATTAGATGCTTGGATGCATAGTATCTAATCATGACAATCCTGATTGTTGCTGCCATCTTAACTCATCTATCTGACTGTCCAGGAGCAAATTAACTTTTCTTTGTTTCATTCTACTAAGTTTATAGGCCTGCTTATACAGCTGGCCCCTAGTGTCTATTTCCAACAAGATGTTTGTTACCAAACCTAGTTGAATAACGAATATTAGATTTTATGTTGCTTCCAATTGGAACAGTATAGTCAAAGTTTACTAGGATAAGCATCTGAAATTTCACCTTAAGACTTTATTAGTCTCAGCTGATACTTAGTGAGGGGTCAAAGATTTGTAATAACTCAGAAAGAAATGACAGATTAGTTGGCACATCTCAGCATCATAGAATGCAGTAGATTGTTTTGCTTGCACTTTCATTTCATTGTTAATAAAAAGTTTTAATATATATGTCAAAAAAATCCCTGTTTACACAAGCTCTCTTCAGTCGTTGCTAGAGGGTGTTTCTACAATAAAATGATGATTGAGCATCTCACAACCCTGTTTTATTGAAGATGATAAACAGAAAAATTTGAACGCTTCTCCTCTTAACAGATAAGGCTGTTTCTATCTGAGGAATCACCTTCACAAGTTGGGTTGGGCGCTCAAGATCACCTCCAAGCAAAAACCTCTTTGGTATCACATTTAAATGTGGCAGCTTTGGATAACTTCCTGCCTCCTGGCTTTGGAGGAGTTCATTCTACAAATCATCTGCAGATTAACTTGTCGGTAATCCCTGTCATTAAATGGAAATGTCCTCTCAGAGTAAGGAACACTAATACAGACTTCTTTTCTGGCCATTTCCATTTTAGTTTGATTTTATGATTATTGCTCTCAGCATTTCCTTGAAAGCTGAATTTGCATTGCACAGTTTGTATTGGACTTGAATTGGCAAGTAGTTGCAGGAGAGGAAAGTGAAGAGGTGGAGATTCAGAATCAGAGAGAAGTGAGAGTGCTTGAAGCTGTTTATCCACGCCCATCTGCAGTTCCTACAAAGTCTGATACTTTTCTTTTTCCTTTTTTGAGGGGTTGTGGGGTGGGTTTTCTAGAAACTGCTTCTCTTGGGTTTTACTTTTCCATGAGCTGAAATTTTCTTCTCGCTGTGCAGCCCTTTTGTTTCAGCAGACATAAAAAACTGTCACTATGATGATCAGCAAACTCCTCAAATACCCATCACTCCTATTGAAGATGAGGATGCAGCAATTGAAACATCATTTGACATCTTAGCACCATTCAGTGCCCCCATTAGTTCACAGCCTCAGTTGTTGGCTGCTGGTATTTTGCCTCCTCTGCATTGCAGTATGCCAAGCGTTTCAAGTGCTTCAGCCAATGAAAAAACAGCAGCTGGAATGGTCCTTAATGTTGAACCCAGTGTAGCAGCTGCTGCCTTTACAGCAATTAACCAAAGCAATGAATGTGGAAACATGATTGATCCTGACTTGCTCGTCAAAATTCTCAGCAACCCGAAATTGATTGCGAAAGTAGTTACAGATTATGGAGTGGCTTCAGGTGCACAAAACTTACCTAAATCGACATCCCCTTTGGCACCTTCATCTAACCCACCTCCACCTGTAAATCTATCCGGTCCATCTCCTGCCCACTTCAATAGAACAGAAAATGGTACTGCATCCCTAGCACTTACTTCTGGTGGAGCGTTTTATGCTCGGCCAAATGGGGCTGGAGTTGGACCCTCAAATAAACCTGGTCCTGTTCCCAGTGTCTGTCTAGTTTCGCCTTCACCTGCCGTTGGACTTCCTCTGAAGGATGTAAACTATTACAAGAACTTGATTCAGCAGCATGGAGGAGAAAGACAAGGACCAGCTCAGAAGTTCAACAGCCGATACAATTACCTCCTAAGACCGAACCAAGAATTAATAAATAATCCCAAATCAAGAGATTCCAAGCTGAAGATAATGAAGCCTTGTATATACTTTAACAGTTCCAGGGGATGCAGGAATGGAGCTAGTTGTGCGTACCAACATGATGCATCGTCTCAGAACGGCGGCAATAATGCTCCGGACCAGCCGAATGCAAAGAGAATGAAAATGGATAGAGAGATAGGCCGTTAGAAAATACTAGTAGCTCTGTATTTTTTTCCTTCGCTGGCTTGGTTTTTTTTCCTTTTTTCATGCATTAAGATTTAAGTTAATGGGGCGAGAGAGCCCTGATAATCACAATCAATTGCGGATATTCATCTTTAAGAAAGGCTTCATTTTTTTTGTTTCTTTCTCCTTCTTGCATTGACTGCTAATGTTGCATACATATATTACAGCACAACAAGGATTGAAGTGTTTTATGCTCTTTGTTTGGAAAGAAAGAAAGATCAAACAAAAAAAAACCTTGGATCCTGGAAGGATGGTTATGGTTCCCTCCTTGTGGAGGTATGGCCTGCAGTCCTACTTAAAAATAAAAGAAAAAGGGAACAACTGAGTAAGCGATTGCTTTCATCGTGGCCCATTCAATTAAACTAGTATTAAAATAGGATTAAATTAACAATATATTATTATATTCCCCCCAGAGTGAGCAAACAATCCAGCTTCGAATTCTGAAGATGTTGAAGTTTCTATCGAAAGTGAGGATTGAGTTCATTGCATTGGAACCACTCAAAGCTTCATGCATGGAGTGCTTAGCCCAGTGCAACGCCCGCAAAGCCAAAGAGTCGAATCCCGCGTGCCAGCTTCAGGTTAAGCGCCGTACGGACGATCATCCACCCCAAATCACCGTTACTTTCGTCAACGGAGTGGAACAAGTTTTCGATGCCACGTCTACTCCTGGACAGACCATAAGGAACATGATCCTCAGAAAAAGGTCAGCTACTTGAGACCGAGCAAATGTTCCGTGAAGCTGGAGAGAAGTGGCCCGTTATTATACCTGAGGAGGAACTTCACCAATCGTTTCCTGGAGCCAAGGTTTGGGCTTTTTCTCAATTTAATGATTTCTGGGCCGGTTTCCAGTTGTTGGTAGAGGCATTTTGTCGAATAATTGGTATGTCTCAGTGGTTACGGAATTATCACATAGTGGGTCTGAGTTTGATCATCAATTAACACGGTTGATCTTTGAAAATTCCGTTTCAAGATTACTAAAATGGTTGCTACAATGCTTTTTGTTAAGAGGCATTTTGAACTCAATTGCCATGGTTTTTTTCCTTTTTCTTTAGCCAAGGAAAGCAGAAGAGAAGAAGCAGCGACTCTAATCTGTCTGACCTAGCCATTTTACTGGGTCTCACTTATCACAATTGCTCCATTGTATGATGAAGCCTGAGAAATTAAGTACCCTGTATGACCATTTTGAAGCCTGATTTATGGTCTGCTAGAATGTATTTTCTTAATCTTCCTAATGTTGGATGTATCCATTTACTTCAATTCAACTCTATCTGTATGAATTACTTGTTAGAATCTCATTTGAGTACTTTGATTTTATCTATTTCATGTCATAAGAAAACCCCTTTTTTGTTGTATCTCGCTGGAATGATCTGCAAATAATGGCAGAATTTGCTATGACATGACTTTTTCTGCTCACTAAAGCAAGATAATTATAGTATAATGATGGTTTCTCTTGTTGTTCAATTGCTCAGTGATCTTCTCGCTGCCATCATTTCCATCATCATCTTTTCAGGTGAATCTTCCCAATTTGAAAATGTTTTTAAGTCAACCTGCATAAGGACAGATCCCATGCTTAAGCCTTCACATGCATTTATTATTATTATTATTATTATTATTATTATGCAACCGTGAATTTTACATAAGAAAGGGTTTTGTGAATGCCTTAATCTTATAAATGATTTCGTTACCTTGCGTCTTTGCTCAGTGAAAAGCTCCTCTTTTCTTGTATGAATTCTGGATTTCCTTTGCAGTCTTACCACCAAGTCCCCAAACTTCCACTTCTGATATTGAAGATTCCACTGGGAGGAACCCCTGCAAGAAACCATTTCATAAATAAAAACATTGCTGGAATCACGTTAGACAAAAAAAAAAAAGGGAAATTATGAACCAAGTGATTTAATGAAATTAATAGTGAGTGTTTGAGTAACTTAAATAACCTGAAGGGATTGGATGGAGATTGTGTTTGTTTGAGGATCGGAGAGCTTTGAGAAGATACTTGGAGTGGCATTTCGTCTCTCTGAGGAGCCATAACCGGTAAATAACTGACAAGAACCACTTAAAACGCATCGTATGTTCGATGTTATTGTGATCTGAAACCCGCAATTTCTCTATACTCAAAACTGTATTGGGGAAAACGAATTTGGAGCCGTTGATCTTGCTTACTTCAAATGTTTGGAACCGTGACAAGCCAAAGCCTCCTTGCTTTTTAGAATAACCCCAAATCCCAACTGACAGCCTTGTTGTCCTCAGAATTACAGTATCTTAAATTCTTAATCACTGTCTAATCTTTCTTTCTGAATTAACAATGAAAAAGAAATAAAAAATCCCCACTTGCGCCCCTTTAAAACACTCTCAAAAGGCCTGTTTTTATTCTGTGTCTCTAGCTTCACTCTCCAGCAGAGAAGCACGAGGAAAGAAAAGCAAAGCCAAGATGGGCTCGGTTTCACTGAAAATTGGAGATGGAACAGCAAGATTTAAGAGAGCAACACTTTGTTCTTCAGCTGTTAACATTCTCATGCTTTTCTCTGTTATTACCACCAATCTCTTTGTTTTATATTCCTTCACGTATTCACCAAAACAACACGTAAACAACCCAATTTATTATCGTCACAAGAGCATATCTTTAATCTCTCAGCAAGTTCTTTGATTATAAGAGAGATTGATTTTTCTCAAAGAAAGCTTGCCCAGATGGAAAAAGAGCTCCTTGGTTATGACACTCTCGATCTTTCAAGGCCCAACCTTGCTAGTGAACTTAAGTTGTTTTTGCAACAACATCAGCTTCCTTTGGAAAAGGATTCAAGAACTGGGATCACTGAGATGGTGGCTTCTGTGGAACATTCTTGTGAGAAATCTGCTCATGAGTTACAAGGTTTCTGGACCTTGTCCTGATCACTGGAGCCTTGCTCTGAAGCTAATTTTGAAGGGATGTGAGCCTTTGCCAAGGAGGAGGTGCTTTGCGAAGACTATTGCTGAGTTAGGTCTTAGTTCTTTACCTGTTTCTCTTTGGAAACCTGTTAGTGAAAAGATTGTTACTTGGAGTGGTCTTGGTTGAAAGAATCTTGACTGTTTGAATAGTAAAAAATTGAGTAGAGATTGTGTCGGTTGCTTTGATTTGGTTAATGGATATGAGACTCAAAAATATGTTAAAGGCTAGAAGCAAGAATAATTTTCTTATTGATGATGTGTTAGCTATGGGAAGTGGTGGTTTTAGAATTGGATTTGATATTGGAGGGGGTTCTGGGACTTTTGCTGCTAGAATGGCTGAGAGGAATGTGATTGTGATTACTAACACCTTGAATGTTGATGCACCATATAGTGAATTCGTTGCTGCAAGAGGCCTTTTCCCTTCGTTTTTGGGTTTGGACCATAGGTTCCCATTTTATGATAAGGTTTTTGATTTGGTTCATGCGACAAGTGGATTAGATATTGGTGGTAAACCAGAGAGATTGGAGTTCTTGATGTTTGATATTGATCGCATTTTGATGCCCGGTGGCTTGTTTTGGTTAGATAATTTTTATTGTCCTGATGATGAAAAGAAGAGGGCTTTGACTCGTTTGATTGATAGGTTTGGTTATAAGAAGCTGAAATGGGTTGTAGGAGAGAAGATAGATGCAACTGGGTCGGGAAAACCCGAAGTTTATCTATCTGCTGTTCTACAGAAGCCAGTGAGAATCTGATAGAGATTTCCTGGAAACCGATAAAGGTAAGAATGTTTTTCGAATTTCTGGCTTTATCAATACAAAATTTGTGCAAATTTGTTGCCTTAAATATACTTGAATGTGCCTTCTGCCGAGTATCTTTTGATCCTGAATATCATGATTCCAACCGTATGCATATCAAACATCTTCCTGTTAATGTCTTTGAAGCCATAGACAACCACCTCAAATTGTTATGCATGAAATAAAACCGTTATTTGTTAGAACCAATGTCTGAAATAAAGTACACTTGGATGATCTATAATTTAAGTATGAACCACATGTTTCTGGTAGGGTTTATAACTTTAACACTGATTTACGTATCATGTCACTTTGAGAGGCAAATGCAGCTGGCAATTTATGACAGTTTAAATGATTAACTAATATTAACTAGCGGACTATATCATATTGTTTGTAATATACTGATCTTGAGGATGTAATGGATCTTGGAAATATATTATCTCATCAATCATCAGCATGCATCAAGTTCTGATTTCTGATACTACTATTTGCTAGAAGTTCATTTCCTGCTGAAAAATGTATTTTAAATTCGTACATTACATTTTCCACTTCTACCAAGTGAAAGATAAAAGAAGATCGCACCCGAATTGCAAGCCAAAGCCACCTGGTTGCAGTAATCCGAGACTCTCCTGCCATTTTTCATCTCTATAAGTAAACAATGGAGCATCCTTGGGTAACCTAAGACCGCAATGACATTCAGCTTGGTGAATATTTAAGCATTGCAACCTTCTGAATTGTAGCCATTAATGCATTTCAGTGGCAATGTTGAGAAGCTTCATCCCCTCTTCACTCATCTGTTGTACTTCCGTAGGGGATAGAATTCTGATGCAGCGGACGCACCCAACAAACGCTCTGCACAGACATTAAATCATAGCCATTAGAAGCTGGATGCTGACACAGTAAAAGGCGTGCTTCTGTAGAAAAATCTTAGTTAATGATCCGAAGAATGCCAGACTGTTGAAGCCTGAATCCTAGGAGTAATTAACATATATAACCATGAAGAATTAACAAATAAAATAAACATATATACTTACTCCCAAGGATCATCCCCTACAAGCAGAACATCATTCTCATAATCCACATATACTAATTTCCACCCTGAACCTTTTGGATCTTCAAGCAGCCCATTAAGTCCAAACATGCGTTCAATTGCAGAGATTAGTTCATCATAGTTCTTAAAACTATTGACATCAATAGACCTTCCAACGGATCCTGCTTTCTGAACCTGTCAGCCACAACCAATAAGAGTCAGAATACGATCATGGACGAAATTTTCAATTTCTCATGAAACACAAAATGGAACTATGCAATATGAGCATAGCTCCAGTTGATGCCTCAACAATTTTCATATTCAGAATCTAAATTAATATCATACCTTTGTATATGTTCTCACACGTGGAGCCATTTGCTGCCATGAATTATTCAGCAGAAGGCCACTCTCATCAAAATCAACATTGCTGGAAGACGTTCCACCTGAGCTGTCTGGTAAGTCTTGTCGAGAGAAAGCCTGAGAGTCTGCAAGGCTAGCAGAGGTAATCTGAGATTGAACATCCTGACTAGAACTAAAGTTTCCAACCAAACAATCTGAAGGATTCTGAAACTCAGCCTCCTTCAACGAACAAAACTCATCGAGAATGACACTGGAGACAGAAGGGTCGATCACAGCACTACCACCATTACAAACATCAATGTTAAGACAGCTGTATATCCCACTCTGATTATTGCTGTCATCAGACAAATCTCTGACCTCACCAGAACTAAGACCGCATGGGTCTTGCTGAGTGAATGAAGCTAATTGGTCTGCTTGGGATAAAAACCTACAATTATTCAGCTGGTGATCCCATGTATCCTGACCCCCCGTAGTTAAAGGATTAGTTGCTTCAGGAAAGATAACTGAAGAGTCTTGTAATCCACTCTCTGGAATAGAACCAGGTGATCTATAATTCCCGGCAAGAGGTTGGCAAGGAGAAAGGTTTGACATCCATTCATCTGTGTCTAAGAAAGGAAGAAAGCTGCTTAAAGTACTAATGTCAGCTTGGGATACCTGCAATTGATGAGCTTGGACTAATGATGATTCCAACTGCGACTGAATGGGCCCTGGATTATTTTGCAACTGGCATGGAATCTGGTTTTGGTTAGGGAAAGAAAGTTGGTTCAAAATAGTTGGACTTATAGCATTTGCAGTCAATTTTTCCTCATTGCATTTTGATGTTGAAGTCAACTGACTTAACTGATCAGTTGCATGCTCTGGTTCCAACTTTAGTTTTTCATTTTTGCTCCTAGCTTGTGTTTGGCTTTCAAATTTATTTGCAGGATGTAGGCTCCCATTACCATTTATGTTGGACAAATTTGAGTTAATGGGATCGGGTTGGTAAGGGACTAACTGGGAAAGATTTTGGTTTTCTATCAACAGATTTTCCGTTTGGATAAGCTGAGGTTTCTGATTGCTTGTAGACTGCACATTCTTCATCTCTTCTAATGGAGATCCCTTTGCAGCAGACGTTTGTTGCAAAGTAGATGCAAAAATTCCTGGAGGGTTAACAGGCTGAGGCTTCAGCATCATCTTCATCAGTTGTTCAGAACACAAATTTGAGATTGAATAGGGAAGATTCCCATTTCCATTTTCAGGAAACTGGAGGAGGGGCCTTTTTATCAAGCTTCCCCATTCAGATTCCACTCCTGTGAGCATACAAAACAGCCGCTAGATAAGTATCTAAAAAAGTTGCAGACCACTGGATATATCAAACAGAAGCTTACCCAAAATTCCAGGATATAATGGTCGCTTGAGACCTGAAGTTAGAGAAGGAAAAATAAAGAGGCTTTCAGGAGTTTCTATTTCCCATGCACTGACTCTATTCTGTTTATCATTACATCCAGGTTCATCCCACTCAACCTGTTAAGAGAATGGATACAAGAAGTTCCAACATTAAACTTGCCAGTAGATAAAGGTCTATCATTTAATAGGAAGATACAAACCAGTATCCTATTGCAACAAACAGTATTCAGTTAAATGAAAGAAAACCTGAAGGTTTCGCCACTTCGAGCCAGGCCATCTCAGAGGATCCAAGTCGCTAATACCAACTATTGTACCCATATATCTGCAGAAAATTGAGAAATGTTAACACATATCTAGATAGTGAAATATATCATCATACAATATTGTTATTTTTCTCATGCGGAACAATCTTACAACAGATATATCATCATACATTGTCAAGAAACGGTATAAAACAATCCTATGATATTTCATTTGGTGCAGAAGTGTAGCCAAGCTTTAACAACCCTACCACGTCTACCATAAGGAGTGCCTTGACACCACAATGATCGTTACAACCAAAATTTCTTTAACACCTTAAGGTTGGAAACATATGGTGACAGGATGAAACAATCTAGAAACTTACCTACGTTTCCCTGACTCCTCTGTTTCAAACATCATTCCAAACCTCATACCAACAGAGACTTGACATCCATATACAGATTTACGGTATTTAGCCAAAGGGATGACAAATTCTGAAGGGCAGGCTCTTCAAAAAGGCAGAAGAGAAAGGAGTCAGAAATAGATAAAGGAACCTTAAGAGGAGAGAGAGATAGAGCAAAGAAGGTGGGATACAAATGCTATCAAACAAACCTTGGATTGTAGAAAATTGTGAATGGGCTTCTATTGGCAGCAGCATGAGCGGCAGCAGCAAGGACACCAATGTGCATACTATCAGCGGATAGAACAGATGACGGTAATGTTGTTTGTTGACGATTTGCACGCCTCACACCCACCAATAACTGAGATTTCTCATCCCTTGCAACAATAAGACATGATATAAGATGCAATCATGAATTTAGCATTGAAAATACCTTGAACCAAACAAATGCAAGTATATAGCTTAAAATTTTGCAGTATATGACTAGCATACCTGATAAAGAGAACAGAATCACCTGCCCTAAGCCTTTTTGATCCAACAAACAAACTCCATCCAGTTGTAAGAAGGTGTCGCTTTGGCTGCCCTGCATAAAACAACATATATGATACTCAAGATCAAGTTGACAATGTCAACATATTTTTATAGATACACACACACATATTAATATACACAAACATAATAGTTGTGATGTATTATAAGAACTAGCAACAAAACCCGCATATTGCCAATTTTCTGTTTGAACAATTTTCATGATTGTAGTCGTTCTAATCAGGTTACTTGCTGAAACAGAAGGTAAATAATCAAAAAAACACTCACCGCGGTATATATGGCGAAAAGTCCAGGTATTATCATGCAAGTCTCGCACAACAAGCTCTTGAGTTGGTGGTTGCATTGTGTAATCCTGCAAATAGATAAAAACATTAATGTTATTTCACATAATGTCCCTGCATATGTCCATGCATGCGTGCAATGCACAACCAATTAAAACCTCACCAATGGGGGAAAGAGCTTCTCCGCTGCTCTGCGCGGCACTGAAAAACCACCATGCGTACTTGTATCACTTGCAGTCAAAGTTTTACAGAAAAATTCACTTGGATGCTTGCTGGGCTTAAATCCAAAGTCTGGTATATGGAAGACATCTTTTTCCTGATCAAAGGAAAATTTATAATGAGAAAATTGTCAAATATTCAATTCTAGCTACCTTATCTTAATGGTTTTTCTTCTTTGGGGTTATAGAAAGATTGGGAATTTTAAATTGAAGGAACTTAGTAAGAGTTTCAGATACATATATATATAAACTAGAAAAGCTTACAGAGTTCACTGTTTGAAGACTTATTTGGGCATATATTTCATCTGTATCTCTATCAGCCTGTCAAAGATTACAAAGAAGCAACATCAGTGTTTATCTAGAAAAGATATGCAGTAGCTGGTACCATATTTAAAGCCTAGATGACATACATGTCCTTTTGATATGAAAAAGTAAACAAGTAAATGACATACATGTAACGTAACATTGCGAACTTGGCACATCAACTGAGATGGAAGATTAGGATAGTTGGGAATTCGAGACGTCGCCATTCTTTTTGTTGACACTGCTACCTGCTCAAAAGAATAAAGCCATTATTAGTCATGTGGTTCTTGATTAAATAACAAAATTCACAGACAGGCCGTCATACATGTTTAGGATTTTAGTACCGCTTTTTCAAATATTATCAAACAACCTCTCAAATGGTTTTATCCCACCATTCTGTGGCATCTCTAGTTTTTATTCTTGAGATGCTGCATTAGGGCGAGATCTTGGCACACAACTTCTTCCAAGTTCCATCTCAAATAAACTATGTAAAGGCAGGAACCAAATGCATGGATTTTACAATCCAAATGGTGCAACCAATTAAATATGGGGATATTCAACTCATCCACTGGAAAAATGTAGACTCATTGTTCTCAACCAATCAGAATGAAAGGAGCCCAAATTGCAATTGAAGTGGAAAACTGTGCAGCATAAGATAACAGCCATGATACTGAAAACATGGCATTTCTAGACACATAGCTTATGCATTGTTTACACATCAAACTACACATATTAAAATGCAAAGCAGGTTATCAAAGTTGATCGGTAGTAGCTATTAGTATGCTAAGGTCTCATTATGTTAACGCACTGTCAACAGCACAAATATCAGAGACTTTCTTCCCCACACAGACTCATTCTTTTTCTGTTTCCACTACTTCCGTAACAAAAAAATCACAAAAAGAAAACAACGGGGAAAAACTTTGGGGAAAAAGAGCCGGTTTTTTATTTCCTGCAGTAGAGCAAATATAAATTGTGAAAATAAATGCAAACCTGTTCGCTGTGTCCTTGAGGGAAGTAATACACAAGACTCCCCACCTGAGGCAAGAAAACAAGTGGACCTGCGCAGGCATGCCATAACTCGGAATTTATAGCCTTCTGGGTCCCTGCAATCAGTCAGGAAAAGAAAATCCCATAGGATAGTAAGACACATGCTTCGACAGAGATTACACATTATAACGCTGAAGACCAAGTAATGACTAGTTAACATCCTTCATTTTAAGCTTGTATTTTGATTTTTGAAGATTGGAACGTTAATGGTTAAATCAACATATTTGCAAAACGAACCTTTAGAAACCGAATGAAAACAAGTGCTTTTAACCGAGAAAATAGACCATGCTTGAACTAATTGATACAAACTCTAAAGAAAGCCATTTAAGGAATACAAAAAACATAATGTGAAGAAAGAAACTAAGCAAGATGCCCTATGGTTTAAAAGCTAAATGTTAATTGCCTCATTTTAACACAAGAGTAAAGGACAAATTTTCAAAAACAAACCAGACTGATCTTGCATTTCTTTCAATAACTTCATCTCCTCAAGCAGGGTGGCTTGTGCTCCGACATTAACCAAAGCTCCTGTTTTGATCTTCTCTTCAACAACGGAACCCATTATGTGGTCTTCTCTTACTAAAAGAATTCCTCCTTTTGCGCTCTTTTAGAATACACACCAACCAGAAAAACTCAAAACAATGACACCACCTTTACATCTTCACTTGAAAAACTAACGTCAAAAACCCTTAGCTTGCAAAAAGAGAAGAAACAATTTTCAATTCCCATTGCTCCACTGAGTCTGAGTCCAACCCCACCAAATCACGTTTATTGTCTTTAGAGATGGAGAAATTATCAAAGGAAAAGAGGGGTCTCATAAAACACTATACAAACCAATTCCAATTGGTCAGAAAAGAGAACCTTTTGCCCCTCCTTAACCCCTCACCACACTCCTGTCCACCAGCGGCAGCAGAGTCCAAAATCAAGGAACAAAAACCTGCAAAGAAAAGGGAACAACACTGGAAAGAAAGATCTTTTCTTAGGTGGGACTTTTCGGTAAAACCAAAAAGAACACCTTCCCCTTCAGTTAGCAGCACCAAAGCACGCCCACCAAAGCATTTGAGTATCTCTCTTTCTCTCTCTCTCAAAAGATATGGACCTTTCAATAAAACCCCACTATCCTCATCATCACTCTGATTCTTTCCCTCTGCTCAATCATCAAAAATAACAAAACCCAAAAATAAAAACTTCTAAAATATCAATATTTTCCTCCTTTTTGTAAGTGCTTGAAACTGGGAAGAGTGTGCATGCTCTTATCCTGCGCACACACTCTCTGTGTATGGGTGATTCCCTTGCAGCTTTAACCTTCGAACCAGTGTATATTATAATAATAAAAATTAAAAATGAAATGTCGAAAAAGCAGAGCAAGACTAACAGAACACGAAAACCGTACTCGGTGTCGAGAGAGAGAAAAAAATATAAAATTAAGTTTTTTTTTCAAAAAAAAGGAGGGAGCTACTCTAAGCGAAGACGAGAGGGGTGCCTAGGATAATGAACAAGACCTACGTGGCGTATTTGAGGACGTGGACAACGAGGATTCGCTTGTTTTCCCTCCCCAATTTTCGCCGTGTTTTGTTTATTTTAATAGGGAAATATTTAGAAACTAAAAAAGCCAACGTTGTTTTGGTGCCGCTTTTTTTTGCGTATGATATTTGACCGATCGTCACGCGTGCGGTTCAAACCAAATGGGAAGTAGGGAGCAATTACAACTGACACGTGTCGCTTGACTCATCTGTACGGCGCCGTTTCTTCTCTTCTCCTAGTTTGCAACTTGACATTAAATACGGTTTAATTATTCGTTTAATTATGAAACTTCGTCTAAATTTTTTTAAAAGAATTTTTGAATAAAAAATTAAAATTTATTAAATTCAGTTAAATTTTAAATTTGATGATGAACAAAAAAATTAAAATCAAAGTTTGGTTTGACTTGAATTAATTATATATAATTATAATTTATAATTATATTATAAATGTATATTTTTATTTTTATATTTTATTTTTTTAATTTATTTTTTACTATATAAATTAAAGTTGATGAGTAGATTTAAGATTCATTTCTTCAATTATAATCAAATTTAAAAAAATTTTAAGATTTTAAATTTTAAATTTTTTTAAATTTAAGTAAATATATAAATTATTAATATTAAATATAGATTTAGCATGATTCGATTCATGAACATATTTACTTGTGACTTTTGATTTTATTATTTAACAAACTAGATTAATGAGTTTTTAATATTATTTTAAAATAATTAAAAATATATTGAAATTTTATATTAAATATATTATTTTATTAATTAAAAAAGCATTAATTATATTTTTAAATATTATCTTAATCAGTATAATAGCATCAATAAATATATCCCCAAGGTACAACTAGCCTTGGGTGATTTAATAAATTTTTGTCCAAACATTTGACACTTATATTTAAGTTGAGTATAAATGTAGGCAGCTAATAATTCCTTTGCTTCCCTATCTAAATCTATCAGTCTAATGCATTTAATGCAAAATTTACTCTCCATTCTTTATTCTGCTTTTAATAAAAAACCTATGCTAGTTTTGTACATTTGATAAATATATATACTTTATATTTATTTCTTTTACTTGCATCAACACTAATTAAAGAATTGTTTATTTTCATTGGTGCATAATTTATGATTTAAAGAGCAGAGTTTTATTTTTAAAAATTTTTTAAACTATTGTTCATTTTTTCTATGATTTTATCTTTTCTTTTCTACTTTATACAATGAAAATGTTTGATTGAACTATAAAATATAGTAATTTAAAGTAAATAAAAAGTGGGCTTTAAATTTAAAGTTTTTGTAACGTGAAAACAAGAATTAACGAAGTGTGTAAAAGTATATGTAGTGTTAACAACTATTAATAATTAAGAGAGATAAATGGTGGATTGAGCGTCTTTGAACGTGAGAAATTAAAATGGACAGACGATTTGTTTGATTGAATGGGAAGAAAATAGAGCATTTCACAAAAAAATGAGAGCTAAAAGATAGGCTTTTTCCACGAGAGATAAGTCATGCCATGTACATGATCATAAGAAGAAAAAAAAAAGTGATGACTCATTTTGTTGCTACTAGGGTTGCATGGTAGAATACGTATGGGACAAAAGGCGTCATAGACTCATTGTTGTTTAGTAGTATTTTATTATCAATATTTAAAATTTTGATAAATCACGATATCCATATATTTATATCATATAAATTATTAAATTTTATATATTAATTTATATAATATTTTATATAAAAATTTATATCGATAAAAAAAATTTAATTTTATTAAAATTATATATAATTATTATTAAAATTTTAAATCATATTTTATTTTTATATTAAATTTTTATTATATTTTAAATTATCAAATCTAGATTTTTTTTCGTTCCGTTTGTTAGTATTATGTTACGTAGAAACAAGGATGGAATTTCAATTGTAGCATCAACAAATACTACTACCCAACATTATTCAAAGTGTTGCCCCCAAAAGAGAATAGGAAGGGGACAACTTTTTCCATGGTGGGTCACGATCTGTCTTGCATGGACAGCCAAAAGAGAGAAAACAAAACTGTGAAAAGATCAAATGCAAGAGAAAACTCGTCTCTTTTGGTTAACATTTCTCGATTGAAAATAATGATTTCGGTTTCCTTCAATAAAAAAGAAACAATGGTTTTGTTAATGGATTTTTTTTTTTTTTTTTGCACTTATTACTGGGATAACATGCATAATTTGATTGATTCTTTGTAACACATATAATGAAAATAAATATTATAATTTAATTGATAAGGGATTTCGCCATTTTGGCATCATGTTTTAACTCTTGAAGGCATATATTAAGATTTTTATATTAAATAATTATTTTATTTAAAAATAATAAATATCATCACATAAAACCATTCATTGTTGTATGTAAAATCTTTAATAAATGTGCTAGAACCTTGAGGTGAGGTTTAAATTTTATTGCATGTGAATTTGATTATTTAATATTATAATTTATTAATTGATTATTCAATATATATATAAATGTATTATTTTATTATAATTGTAATTTTTTAATATTTATAATTTAAAAAAAAAGTGTTCCTAATTAAGATATTTATCATATCAAAACAAGAAATGTTAGTGTTTTAGGCTACTCCTGTCTTGCAAAACCAATAAAGACAATTCAGACTTGATTTTTTTACTTTAAATTACAAAAATTTAAATCAAAATCAATTAAATAAAAAACTCAATAATATAACAACAGATTACACATTGACGAGCTTTAGTTAATATATTACAAAATCTAGTTAGTGGATTGTATGTATAAATTTGTTGGTCTGATTGAACATTTGATTCCCATGCGCCACGCGATGATCAATATGATGCATGCGGAACGCATGCATCTATGCAGATGAGAAATATGACCGGGCGGAGCATATTTGACGCTGAAATCCATGTCACGGTACATGCAAGAACGACTCAAAGATTGGGATCCATTGTATAGATGATAAAATTGAAATTGTGATAAAATAATTATAATTGGGATTGAAAAAAGAATTTATCAAAATTTTTAAATTTAATAATAATTTTGTATTATATTTGATAAAATTTATCTCGTAAATTTTGACGTTTGGATTTCGTTCAAAAACTTTGAAATTTAATTACATTTCATTGGAAGTGTAATTAGATCCAAATCCAACCTAAGACTCTACCACTAGTAGACTAGCACTCTGTTGAATGGCCTTTCGGAACTAAAGCCCGCCGCAATCTTAGCTTATCCCACCACTTAATTCTTTACTTAAGCCATCACCCTCAGGCCGCACCAATCACCGTTCATTCTGTGAATTCCACGTGTCAAACATGCATCCAATCACATGATTGGTTAAAGTAAGTGGACACTGATACTATCCTAGACGTATATAAGTTGACCCTTGTGATTTAAACCTCCGGACCAAATCTTCTCTCCCACCTCCCTTTCCCCTCGTCTCCTTTGACATTAACATCAACAAGATCTGATCTTGAACAATAATTTTGGACCCACCCACTTGCTTTAAGCATGGTAAAGTTAGCTATGAAAGTCAAGATAAGCCTTATCAAATACCCAAATGCAGAGGGTGTTTGATGGGAAAATTTTGCTGACCTTATAATCTGTAATTCGATGGGACCCTTTGCAATTGAGAGTGCGATCCACCTTTTTTTTTTTTTTTTCCAAATCATATCATGTGGTGTGGTCCATTGACTGGTGATGGATAGATACTGGCATTGATAGGTAGATTTTGCAGTAAAAGGTTCATAAAGTGCAAAGGTACCGGAAAAAGGAAATGGGGGTGCATTGGCGATTGGCAATTGGGACCCTGGTTCATGATTTCTCAAGCTAAATCATATAATTAAGTTTAGCCCTGGCTCCAGCTCATTATCAACTTGGACAATGCGCAATTATGTTATTTGTGCAATGAAAAATAAAAAGAACAAAAAATTAATCATCATTAAGCCCATTATCATGATTTTTATGCCAAGTTAGCGATTCCATACTTTTTCAAATCTGAAAAACATTTCTAAAGATTTGATGCAAATTGAATTTGGAAAACAAGTTATCTGACTTAGATTTTGAATAGAGATGATAATAGATTAAGATAAAATAAATTTTATTCATTTCAAATTAGATTTAATTTTATATTTTTAATATTTTAATTCGATTTTTAATTTTTAATTATTTGATTTAATATTATATAAAATCGTAATCAATTAATTTGATAAAAAATTAATAAAATATTATTTTTAAATATAAAATTAAATATGACTTAATTTAAAATCAAAATTTTTTAAAAAATATCATATAAAATTGAATCAAGTCAAAACTTAACGAATATAAATTGAATCGTCAACCCTAGATTTTAAGTGTGCAGAAATGAACAAAGGGGAAGGGAAAAATCAGAAGAAGTTATACCAGTAGAGTGATCAAAGGACGATAAGCATCCAAAGAGAAGGTTTCCTTAGTGTATGGACTTTTAGATAGCAAACAAATGATTGAGATTATTGTAAGGATAAAAACAAAAGCATTAACCGAAGATTAGTACAGAACAAAGAGCATGCATTTGAACAACGATGGTACATACAAAAAGTATATATACTACACATATGGGTGACGATGATGATGATGAGAGTGGGGGACCCAAGGGCCAACGCGTGATAGCTGAGAGTGAAGTAACCTAAAAAACGAGCGTGGTATGAGGGGGAACATAGAAACAGTGCAAGATGTAGGGATGTAAGGGGACATCAGCTTCTGAAATCTTCTGATGAGAGAGAGAAAGTGAAGTCCCTTTTTCCAGGCATCTCATCCTTTGTTTGCTTCGATGTTTGTGGATGTGGGCCGACACTCAAGGCTGCTTCATGGGTTTTTTTTTTTTTTTGGTCAAAGGAGAGTCCGATACAAAGCACATGTCCTTTTTCACACTTGTTTTCTTACCTCCACCTACTGTAGTGATTTATATTTTGAAATTGATTTAATGCAAAATACAATTCAAATCTTAAAGTCAGTATTCGATTCCAGGATCATTTTAAGTGGGCGTATGAATTTTATTGTATTTTTAATATGATATAATTAAATTTAAATATTAATTTTAATAAAATTGATTCAATATAATATTTTTTATAAATTTATTTTTTTAATAATAATAATTATTTTTAATTTCATTAAAATCAATTTAAGTACTTACTCAAATGAATTTCAAAACAATTTAATTGTTTAATCACATAGATGTTCAATTTGACATGACTTAAAGTCTTATAATTTGATTTTTTTTTTATGCTAAAAAAACGACTAATACCACTTAATTATTGATACAGGCTATAACTGCTCCTACAAGATATGGCACGCCCTAACCTTACATGGAAGTATATTTGCAACTTGGTATTGATATAGTTAGGTTGATTGATTGACAAGTGAGTTTTTCATTGTAATAAATGTATTTGGATGTTATGCAACTAAATTGGTTGATTTGGAAGCAAAGGTAGAATAATATAAATAATCTACTAGGATGAGAATATAAGAGTTGGTTCGTTTATTTCAAACAATTTAAGGAACTTACTATGGTTGCGAGGCAAGCTAAGCTATTGACTATAGGCAATTGACAGAGTAGTACTCAATTGCAAGTCCATGAAAACATTTTTTATATTTGTTTTTCTTGGAAAGGTGAAAGCATGCGATAAAGCCAAATGCTTAATCATAACAAAGTTTTTTTCTTACCATGTATTTATAAAAAAAAATATTATTGATTCACACTAAAATCATGATTTCAAGTAGGGCCTATAAAGTGCATAAATTTCAGCCTATGAGATAGATATGTATAAATTTTGTTTGTAAAGTAAAAAATAATAAAAAAATAATTTAATTTAATTTTTTTATTTTAAAATTATTAATTTACTTATCTTATCACATATTTGACTGAAAAAAAAATTAAATTCTTTTAAATTTATAATTTTTAAGTATTAATTTTAATAATATGCTAACTGATTTAAAAGATAATCGATAATTTAATTTAATTTTATATTAAAATTATCTAATAAATATTAATTAATTAATTAATTAATTATTTAATTTATTTTTATTAACTTATCAGAGTTAAAATTTGATACATTACTAGTATAAAATTTCAATTACATAAACAAAATTAAAAGATTGATACATTATTTATTTATTTATTTTATTTTTTTAAATATATCATATCTAATACATGTCATCATATTAATCTCATTTGTAAAATTTAAAATTTATATCGGTAATATATTAAATATTAACTTAATTTTTTATATAAATATAATTGTTGGTTCTGATTGTCCCACTGTAAAAGTAAAATTTCATTTTGTCTAGACAAATGCATCAGGACTCAGGCTTGTAATACTAAAAGGCCCATTTTTTTTTCACATTTGTCAAGCACATCATTACAAGCCCAAAATATTAGTTATGTAAATTGAATGGGCCCAAATCTATGTTTTGATGTGAACCAGTAAAACGAAGGCCCAGATAATCAGGAGTATCATATTTCTCGGTTAGGGTTTTACACGTTCAGGGTTTTTGCAATGCCACATTGAAGAAAACCCTAGCCTTGCTATTCTAAATGCTTCATGTTTCAGCTTCGGCCATCAATTGAAGTTACAAATGGAGGGATTGAGCGGGGCAGATGCTGATTTGGTGGTGTACTTACACCCATCGAAGAGCATGAAGGTTTCCCAAGGGATCCTCCGTGAGCTTAGCTCTTTGCTCTTCAAGTTCGTTCTTTTTGCCTTCTATTTTATTAATTTTAATTTTCATGTTACTTGAAACCCTTATTTTTGTTATTTTCTCATTCACCAAAAGCTGTTGATTGTGTTGAATTGCTTGTGATTTAAACAAAGCACACCCTTACTTTGGTTAATGTTAGCTCTGTTTTATCAATGGGTTTTATGTTTTAGCTGAAAATTTAACTTTTTATGATGAAGTTAACTATGACTTATAACTGCTTATGGGGTTTCATTGCTTGAAATTTGAAAAAAATCGTTTACCTTTTCAACCTTCTAATGGAGGTATTAAGAGCCAGGCGTGTTCAGGTGTTGGGTAAGTTTATTATAGTTGAAAATATAACCCTTTGGACAGGACCAATTTAATGTCTATCAAAATTATCAAAGATGCAGAGTGTCTGGATCTAGTAGTAAGATTCTTTTGACTCTGTTGGGATCAATATTCAACCACATATTTTACGTCTTTATGCACTTCATTTGTAATGGTGGTAATAATTAAATGATGCGTGAATATTTGCTTCCTTTTATCCTAATCCTGCTATAAAGTGTTTCCGCTTTTCCTTGCAGGTTCAACAAAACATTTGGTGGTGTTTTATTGGCTTATGATGTTAATATTCTGGATAAACAGGCAAAAATTCTTTCTGGTGTTCATCCTTATTTTGGTCTTCGACTAAAAGCAAACCTCCTACTTTTTTCACCAAAGTCAGATATGCTCTTAGGTACTTTTTTCCATGACATTCCAGGTTATTTTATTTAGTTTTTCTTGTAGTGGATATCACATTGCTTGTATTTTTTTATGTATATGCGTGCCTAAGATATTGTCTAAGCTAATTTTCTTTCCCATGTTCAGAGGGGAAAGTAGTGAAGCTTTCTCAAGAATCTATTCACGTCATTGTTCTTGGTTTTTCATCTGCTATCATAGCAACTGAAAACATCCGTGGAGAATTTAAATATAAAACTGTGAGTAACGGTTTGCTATGTTGTTCTGAAGTTCTTTTTTGAGTTGTATATGTGTATATGGCAAGGGACTATATTAATTACTGCAGTAACTTATTAGTTTCTTATTGTATCATAGAAAGATGAAGAGGAACTATTTGCCAGCAGATCTCACAAGAGGCATGTCATAAAGATTGGAACCATGATCCGTTTTTCAGTCAAGAGGTGACAATTTCCTTTTAAAAGAAAACTATCTATTTAATTTTAAGAATGGCATATGTTTTTCAATATTGTACTGTTTTGGTTACCATCAATGTTTTACTGTAAGCTAGAGAGAAATGGTATTGTTTGTGTGTTTATGTAGTTGTGTACTCAGCTCTATTTTTCTTCTACTATTTAAAATTGAAATTTGATATTTGTGGAGAAGTTATTTGCCCTGTTCATTGATCAAATATTGTTAATTTTTTTGTGATTAAGGCCAAGTTTTAATGATAGAGAAACATATTCTCACTGTGCCTATTGATATTTAGCCCATATTGCTTTTATGATTTCCTTTGTCGATCATTCAGTATTAATCCATTACAAACCTGTGGATCATATAATCTTGTTGCTTCAGTCTTTATGCCTTGGTTATGCATGCTTTTCTGCTCACTGATGTTTTATTGTAGTTCATCAAGTCAATTGGATATTTATTGAAAATTTACAACTTATTTGAAGTTCCAAATTCTTTTATTTTTATTTTTCCTTGGGAGAAAGGGAGGGTGTGGTGGCTAAAGACATGTTGATCACATGATTTTTTATATTGATTTTTCTTTGCAGTTTTGATGAGGAAATACTTCACATCATTGGTTCTTTGATGCCAGCTCACACGGGAAGCATTCGTTGGTTAGATAGAAATTTGGAGGAGATTTCAGAATTTGAAAGGTCTTTAAATAAACTCGAAGTTTTTGAATGGGGAACTCTTTATATGTCAACTTGCAAAGGTTTTAATGTAAATGTTGTATGCTTCTACAGGAGTGCTACAAAGAGTAGAGACAGAGAATGTCAGGAGGATAAAACTGTTGATGAGGGAGCAACTCCCTTGAGCTACAATAATCACATTAAAAAGTCAAAAAAACGTAGAAACAAAGAAGGTTAATGAAGACTGCTTCCAATTACCAATTGTTTATGGAGATCTCTTGTTCTCAGGTAATATATTGACCCATTCATGTTCTAACTATGAGTGTTTGCTAATAGCTGTATCAGGTGATCTTTTATCAGTATTGAATTATTCTTCTCTTCAGTAGCTTTTACATTCATCTGTTTAAAGTAATCAGCTTGTGAACTATTAGTTGGAAGATCTCAAAGTTTACTATATCTACTTTTGAAACTTGGTTTTCATAGCAAGTTTATAATTTTTGTGCTAGTGCAGGTAAGCTTAGAGCGTTGGGCAGAAGTTCCTTATAGATGAAAGTATATTGCTTCTGGTTGAATACTCTGGTGAGGAAATGTGCCTTTCTGGGAAGGTTGCTGACATTTTGAAATTTTCCCTTACTCCTTTTTCCTTGGTGGTTGTATGTGCACCAAAATTAAAAATTCCCAATTCCCAAGTTGAGGCAAAGAATGCATTGTTTTTCCCTGAGAAATGGGTGATTTTTGTTACTTGCTGCTGTACATCCAGGGAATTTTTTTTGTACTTTGTACAACTGTAGACTTGGCCTTGTCCGTGCATATCTTAAAATTACTCTTAGCAAAAAGAAATACTTTGTTCCCTTGTTTCGTTATTGCTTCATGTCATGTTCTGTCCAATTTTGGTTTATGTCAGTGTTTACTGATAAAATCAGTTATCCGCATTTTCTGCTTCTATCTGTTTTGTGTTAGATGGGAAGACGGTGTGGCGGTGCCATTGGGGCCGTCAACCAAATTGTAAAGATTACGAAAGACTGGCTCACCTTTAATTTAGGGGAATTCATGTTTTTAAAGTTGAAAAAAGGGTAGCATGATGAATGAGCAAATTCGATGCTACCTAGAATTTTACTGGCAGGGAGTTGAACTTGGATATATGGTAGATTCTCATGAACCCTGCTACAATGTATCTAATTAGCCAGCAACACTGAAAAAGAAAGAGAATTTACTTATTACTGAAATGATTTCATGTAATTTTCATGAACCACAATGTAATATTAACGAAATACATGATTTTAACAAGTGGTCACGAAGAACTTCCTCGTATCCATGCGCCAACATACGACATGACAGAAGCCCGAAAAGCTAACGAAACACCTGCACCACGCAATGTTGGTCTACTTCAGTGGGGATCACCACATTACTTTGCCCGAAGTTTGAAACATTGCTGCTGGATGCATGGTGTTCAATCACCCAACGTGGACTGTACTTCGAGGCAATAATATTTGATTCTCAATAATGATGGATTGCACCACTTTAGTCTAAGGTACAGCCAGCTTGGACACATGTCAGTGGGCTACACCTGTGCACCTGATCAGATTTGTGCAAATCTAATCGTTGTTGATTGGCGTATCTGACCATACCATATAAGAAAGAAGTGGAGGACATCCGTGTGTTGGTCAATCATTTTTATGGTGGATTCGGATTTTCAGGGTTGAACCAAGTACGTTCCATTTTGCACCGTGTAGTACTTAATGATTGGAACTGCAGCTGAATGCATATTTTGGGCAGCTTCAAGATAACAAATGCTGAAATCCAGACAGATCCTTTTTCAGCTGTTGAAATTCTATATTCATTCATGCTCCATTTTAAACATTATCATCATCAGGTATGGGGTTTCTTTCAAAAAAAAAAAACACCATATATATGTATATATTCCTTTGGGACCCATCTTTCTAGTTCAATAAAAAATGATCAGAAGAGGAGTTAAGTGGGAGAAGACAGGGTTTTCAGGTTGGTACATGATTCTCACTTTCCATCATACACCCATGTGACTGTGATTATTTTAACCAGAAAAATACAGAAAAAGATTATGACAAACTTTCCCCATATAATCTGGCCTTGTAACATGCTTCAGGCTCTCTCTTGATGGAGGTAAATGTGAGCCTAATTCTTGGATATTGAACAATTAACTCCTGCGTCTAATGGCACTTAAAGCACGATTATTATTGTTTGTGTGTGAGAGAGAGAGATTTGTTATAACTTCGAATCTTTGTTTGGCTTACCTCTCATTGCCTTGTGCTCATCTGACATCTTTCTCTGTCTCTATCTCTGCATTAATGGATTTGGAAGATCTTGTATAGATGGCAGGATGATATTATATAAATTCATGTGAATATATAAGTACTGCCTCTAATTCTGACAAACTTAGTTGTTATATATTGGCATATATATATTCTATGATTTAGGGAATAGATTTGAAGCAAATTTTTGGTTTTTTTTTTTTGGAAATACGCAATAATCTTAATTACTTTTAAAACCAACTACAATAATTCTAATGCAACTTAATTAGAGGGAAGTACAATTCCAAAATGTGCTTAACATTGTTTGGGAAGTCTGAACAAGCTTTCAAAAAGAGATTTGAGTAAAAGAACATTAGAAGATGAATTTAAAGATAACGAGGCTAAAAGCATTAGCAAAATCCCTGCGTATCTTATTCCAATCTTGACTAATTACGAGGTAAAGAAGGCAGCATGTCAATCATTTTCAATCATTTGATGCATTGATCAAGTTAGACTGTTGTGGAAAATTATTAGCGCTTTAAAGTATTTTGCCCCTAACATCCCAAACACCATGAATTGTCTGTCATATAAACATCATTAATTTTGTTCCCGAATCACGTCAAAGGGTCACTAAATCTATCATTATAATGGAGTATTAGTCGTTAGTTAACTTCCATTACAATCATCACTTTTTATCTTTGAAGGGAATCAGACGAAAATGTCAGTTAAGCGAATCGTGGCCAATGCTCAGAGAGCTAGTAATAAATGTTTTGAAACTTAAGATTTGTAGTGTGCAATTTCCATAATAGTTTCATTCTCTCTCTCATTTCATGCAGCAAAGAGATGAAGTGGGGTTTTCAGCATTTTTCTGGGGTTAACTTTTTAACTGCATTGTACGTATTAGTGCAACCCCATCTGTACTGTCTTGTTCTTTAGGTCGAACGTTTCTGACTTGCATGATGTGGTGGGTTTCATTCATGTTGTGCTAACGATGATGTCTGTGCACGTACGGCTCATCAGACCCTGCCAATCACTCGAGTGATATTCTTATCTTCATTTACAAATAAACTTCATTACCATATAGAAAACTTACTTTAAAAAAATGGACACATTTTTTTTTTAATTTTAAATATATTTTAAAATATATATCATCCTGTTAATTTTGTTTATAAAATTTAAAAATTTCATTGATAATATATAAGATATTTTTTTTGTACAAATTATAAATAAGGAAAAAAGAATCTAAACTAAAATATATTCCCTAAATCTTCCAAATTTTTTTTGTCTAAATTGAAACAAATTGAAGGAAGTATAAAATGGGGAAGAAAACAATTAAAACGAAGTACTTTATATGTCATATGATCTATACATATAATAGAGAAGATATTATTATATAGCTTTTTGTTTGCCCAATTCATTTTTTTTTTTGCTCATTATTTTTCTTAATACTGTCTCTGCGATGTTTTTGGTTAAAATTCGAAGGCATTTGGAAAAAACAAATAAATGATATGATCCTGAAATCCTAGCAATTGGGGTTCTTAGTTCTTAGTGTGCAATATATGACGTTTTGGGGAGATGCACCTACCTTCCCATAACATGCACGTGGACCCATGCATCCAATAGCCCCATCTTCACCATTCAAAGGGAGTAAGCTCTTTAATATATGCACATATATATATATATATATAAATAATTCTGACTTTGGGTAGTCACTTTAAAAGCTTTTATTATGGGGATAATTAGAAGAGAAGTTGGGTTTGATTGGGCAAAGTTGGAGGTTAAAACAAGGGTTGAATGAGTGATTAGGAGGGGAGAGAGGGGAGGGAGTCTTGGCAGTCTGTTTAATTTGACAATTAAAGAAAGGGAAAGAAAGATGAGGGCATCCCCTGCACATGGGGCATGGTCATATATATATATATATGGAGAATACAAAATCGTTGCAATAGAGAGAGCTGGATTTTTTTTTTTTTTAAATGTTTTAGGAAACAAAAGCATCTTCAATTGACTCAACCACTTCTAGAGACACGACCCGTTTTCCGACTTTTGCATATGGTGGGTTTTTTCAGCCTTCAATATGCTTTCTCTCTCTTTCTCTGTATGCGTGACGTTTAACCAAAAAATTTTCACTTTTCAACGATTAAAGAAAAAAACTTGTTTGTTTCTAAATTTTGACAGAATTAATGAATCAAGGTTTTAGTAACTTTTTTCCGGAAAGATGTTTGTGGTTTTCTGATCTCTCTTTTTCTGGTAACCTAATTAACTCCACAGGGAAAGAAAATTTGGTTATGAACATTGCTATCATCTATCTATATATTTGATACGCTCAAATCTCTTTTTTTTATGAGTTAAAAATGACCCCAAAAATATTTCCACATTCCTTCATTTTCAATTTGATATCAAACTAAATTCAAAAAGTTATAATGTTTGTCCCCATCCCCACCCAATTTTATTAGCATTCCAATAGTAGTCTTTCTATTATATTGTAATCACTAAATTTCATATATATATATATATATATACACTCTTGCCTTCACCCTTATATAAGCCATCATTATTCTATTATTTCCAATCTCAAAACTTCATCAAAAGTTTGTACAAATTTTCAAATCCCTCATGCCCAAATTAATTATATTGTAGGATTATCTTATTCCCTTGTATAGAAAAAAATTGAAAAACCCTTTTAAATTGAGTAAATGAGCATTAAACTATACTTACCAAAAGATATTTTAATACATCCATCTCCTCAAATAATAATTTGGATACAAAATTTTAATTTGAATCATTTTGTCTTTTCTGCTATTTGTTTCATTATTATTATTATTATTATTAAATCCATTTAGTCTGCCAAAAGATATATGAACTTTTTAGTAATTATCTCAAACCTTAAGGGCACTTTCCCACCTTCCTTTTTATAAAATTCTCAGTCTCCCTCTCCTCAACAGGTTTAAACTTTCCCAGCGGTAAGCTATCAATTCTCATAGCAAAGCCCAAAACAAGCAAAGGCTTTTGTTTGTATCTTCACTTCTTAGTTTTTCCAGGAAAATGTCGGCGGGGCTTGGAAAATGCAGCAAAATCCTCCGCATTGTGAGGCTCATGCAAATGTTGCGTCGGTGGAGGAACAAGGCTAGCAGCATGTCAGCCAGCCCCATCCCGTCCGATGTGCCGTCGGGACACGTGGCGGTCTGCGTCGGTACGAGTTGCAGGAGGTTCGTGGTGCGTACGACGTACCTGAACCATCCCGTCTTTAGGAAACTCCTTATCCAAACCGAGGAAGAGTATGGGTTCACTAACCAAGGCCCATTGGCGATCCCCTGCGACGAGTCCGTTTTCGAAGAAGTGATACGGTTTATTTCCCAGTCAGAGTCGAATCACTCGGACTTTAAAGAGAACTGTCACATGGGAATCAGGACTAAGCTTGATTTGTGGACCGAATCTCGACCGTTACTTCATGGGTTCACTGAGAAAACAATATGTAATTAAAGAAACAGTGGAAAGAGAAAGGAAAGGCTTTGATTCTTACCCGGGGTTTTTGACTCAGTTTCGAGTTAGCTCGAGTGAGGAATCAATTATACGCTGCTTAAACCAGTGAGTTGGCCGAGTTAAGGAGCTGGTTACCAATTCTTGGGGTTTTACTTACCACACTGAAAAGGCTAGTTGGTGGGGATTTTACATTTTTTTTCTCAAAAATTATGAGCTGAGTCAATGTAAATTAGCTCCGGAGAATGCTTCGAGATGGCAGAAAAGGTCGGTGAGTTATCCGCCAAGTCGTCCCGGGTTCGAATCGGAGTAGGGCAAAAAGTGGTCAAGAATTTGAGACAACTGAATTCATGAAGAAGAAAGAAAAGAAAAGATATGAAGTGATAGTTAATTAAAAATCACTGCTGTAATTTTGCGATTTATTTGACTGATGAAGGAAATTTTGTAGAGATATTCCATCAATGATATTTAATTAGTTCCATTGTTGGACATTTCATTTAATTTTTATTCTTTGTTGTTGAAATTTTCAATTTTTAATAATGTTGTAGAGAATTACGAAGTGTAGTAAAATTCAAAATAATAATAATTATTATTATAATTGTGATTGAAAAAAAAATATTATAATTATAATTAAAAAAATTTTAATAAAAAATTTATATTGATTGAATTTTATTGAAGTTGATATTTAAATTCAATCAATAATATAATAAATTTAATCTCATTATACTGAAAATACAATAGAATCTAAATAGAAACGTATTAGGTTGAAGCGATTGAAACTACCAAACCTATAAAATATTCATTTTTATTTTTTAAATTTTTAGTTAGAAGATTGATATATATTCTTGTAGTAGATTCATAATTCTGCTGGTAGTCAACAACTTCCAAGTTTACTGTTCAGCCAATAATGGACCTTTGAATTGATTATGAACTTTTGATTTATTTGGTACCCAAGATTTAGACTGAAAAAAAGAATGCAGTATGGCATGGCCATTGTTATGACATCTTATAGATCAGTGGCTCAGGATGTTACATACCATGTTAAAACACAACTACAAGCTCATTGCCTGTTCATGTTGACATTTGACCTTATCACCTGATTCCAATGGATCATTTGCACTAAACGTCTAAACCATTGGTCTTTCCCCTGCTTGGCTCCTCTCCCAAGTAAAGCCACAACAACCAGGGATTAAAAACAATTGTCGTGTCAACTTAGAGTAGTTGAACCCAGCACATTGATGTTGATTCATCGAGAAAAATCTTGCCTAGATATTAGCCAGCTATTTGGTCAAAACCCTTCATCAAACCAAAAATAAGGGAAAAAAAAACCAGTTGAGTCAATGTACTGCAGAAGTTTGCCTGTGAGGAAGCATCAAGAGGCCCTAGAGATGAGCACCAATGCATAAAATCCTGCTTCATTTCGACCCACCGCGTATAAATGAAAGACAATCTTTGTTGAAAATGACAAGCTTAGTACTTTAAAGTTATTTTGAATACACAGAAACATGTGAAGATTTTGACTTGTGATGCCAAGCTGCTAGAAGAAAGTGGATGTCCTAATCAATGTTGCTTATCAAGGACCCTGTAATTAAAAGGGGTGGTGGGAAGGAATCGTATAGGAATAGGAATAGGAATAAAAAGGAAGTAGAAGAACCAGACATAGTGGGATCAGGTTTGGCTGGGATTGGCATTTTTATTTTACTAAAATTCTGTTGTTAGAAGTAGGAGGATATTGTGATTGGGTTTGATTTGAGTGATGATTTATAAGTCAGTTAAAGTACTGCAGGTATGCCTGCCTCTTTCCTCTGTTCCACCAGAAGAAAATTTTCTTTTCCATAATCAAAAAGGCTAAACCCTATTGATTCTCCATTTCAATAATGGCCATTTGGTTTTTGACTTTTCAGCTGCTTTTACGGGTAAAACCGTAACGTTAACATTTGTAAGAAATAAAATGTAACACTAAATTAGTTCTGAACTACCAAATTATTCATGGTTTATTTTAGTTTTATATTTACTCTATTTGACATTAACAAAATTGGCATACGATTCTGTTTTTGAAGCCCAATGTCTTCCAGTCATGAATTCAAATCCATGAGACAAGTCCTCAAGAAAGCCCAATATCTGATCAACTGTAAACTGAAGTATAATCTAAGCCTTCTTCCTTGCACCTTGGCCCAAAGCTGGTTATGGGCACAATAGAGCTACACAGTCTTCCGGACTTGACTGCCTACAGTTGCTCCTTCGCCATTTTTAGTGGCTGAGCCTCAGCCAAAACCTGACCAACTTGGAAAAGAAGGTTGCCGTTTTGGGTTTAACTCGATTGCAAGGAGAGAAGAGGGATTGGAGGGTTTGATAATATGCTTAGTGAGGACTCTGGCAACTCAAACCTCACTCAGACACTCACTACGTGGTGTGACGTTCGACAGAACCAGCACCAAATCTCTAGCCAAGGACCTAAGAAAATTATTGGAAAGCTGGTAAACCAAATGCTATCTGAAATTGGGTGAAGTTTGTCTTGAACGAGTGAGACAAATTCAAAGGGGAATCATGTGAATGGTGAACCAACCAAAATGAACGTGCGCCTAACAGTGCCTAAAGATTTTCAGGGCCTGGCTTTTGCATGACTAAACCCACTAACTTGTATAAACACCACATACAATACAACAAACAAAATGGGACGAGCTTGGGTTCTGTCATTTGCAGCTTTGGAAATATAAGACAGTAAGAGTGGCCCACCGTTTGCTCCATGCGGCTATTTATTACCAGTTATTCTCCTATCTATCTTCTTCTATACATTTTCGTCCTTTTCATATACTCTGCAAGCTAGCAAGTTCAGCTTATTCTCATGGTAGATAATCTGACAATAGCAAAGTAGGTGAATACCAAAAGCATGACCTATTTTCGATTATGGATAAGAAATTTGTATCTTTTCATTTTTCTTTGTGGATAAAAGGGTAAAGTACTCTACCAATTGAAGGCCACGTTCCAGCTGAAAATAATTCCACTTAGACTTTATCCAAGTAGAAAACTGGCCTAAGATTTGCAGATTAGTTTTGCTAGTTGGCTATATTTCTCTTTAACACTTTCAATTACCCCTTTTCAATCCAAATGCTGAGTTAAAGAACTTCAAAAAAAAAATATGGTTTCCTTAACTAAGAAGTAGGAAAGAAAGATGGGAAAAAGAAGTAATATAATTGGTTTTGATTAATAATAATATGGGTCTGACCCACCTCTCTAATTTGCATCGATGTGTTATGTTTAGTTCAGAAGGAAACGAACTCGATGGCTATGGTTCAATGACAAAGTGAAAGCTGATGTCCTCTCGCAACTACATTGGGGTACGGATGTTTGTGGCAGGTTGGTTTCGAAAGCTCACAAAGAACGTTTTTGTCTTTGCATGTACAAGTATAATAAAAAAAACTTTGAAACCCATCCAATTCAATGCCGAAAACTGTGCTCATTGATGATTTGTTTGTACTCAAACAGGCACCAATTTCCTGTGTGAAAAAACTAAAAAAAGGGCAGAAGAAACTGAAATAAGAAAAAATAAATAAAAAGATGTCAGGAAATTCAGAAAATTAACATTTCCCTAATAAGTTCAAAAAAGCTGAAACACTTCTTGGTTATTAGCCAGCTCGACCTTGGGTTTGAAGTCAGATAGGGGGCCCAGATTAAGCCCCACCCCAAGAAACACCAACCACTGGCTGTAGCCTGCAGCAAAAGTCTGAAGATCAAGCTAACAGATGAAATTTCGGTCACAAGTTTTGACTTTTCACAAGCGTTCATCTAAGGTCCTTGGACTTGAAATCTTACCTGTAAATAGCACTAAATCAGGGCAAATATGAAATAACCTATGCTGACAGTAGGTTAAGGCAAATTTAATAACAGACAACAAGGAAGCAATGTGATGATAATGATCACTGTATATAGCTAAGAACCAAAAAAGAAAAAGTGCTGGTGACCTGGAGAATAACCAAAGGGAAATCGAATCCGATGAGAAAACCTTTCGCTTTGGGGCACTAGAAAAGTATGGGGAGAATGTGGGCTAAAGCTGTCATATGTGCCAAGACGTGGGTCCCCCAAGCGATGTCATTTGGTTCCATTCTTCATCTCATTCCACCCCATAAAATTCTATCGTACTAACAAAGCAAGGGTTGAAACTTCCCACAAAGATAAAATTATTAATAGTAGTAGTTTATAGCATAGGATTGTTAGATTGGGGCTAATGCTCCATCTTGATAATCATTCTCATTCACTATCCTCTTGCTTCTGAGTGCCCAAATGACCCTAATATCACTCTCCATCTATATCCCACTATCAAGTGAGCATGGAGATCTGACTTGCTTGATGTGCCTCTCTCATTCATTATCAAATGCTTTCTCTTTTTCACCTACCAAATTTCCCTAATAAGCTAGAGTTGTTAATCACTATGACAATTGTTCCAATATATATATATATACATTGGAATTGTATATATAGTATGCAACCTGATAACATACCAACTTAGAATCTAATAAATGAAATCATCATCTTAATTTTAAAATAAGTATCTAATTTATAATCAATTAATGGCATACAAATATTTTATCATATTTATATGCTTAAAAAATTCAGTATATAATTAACATAAAAATTCTTTGATTATCATTGCTGTTAAATGATCATAAATATAATTTGATTTGATTAAAGAATAATTATATATTTGTACTTTATTTTTAAGGGGGAAAATTTTATTAAAAAAAAAGGGGAGAAAATTTTGGTTTTGAACCGATTTTTAAAAAATTTTTGTGATCTCTAGGGCACGAAGTAGAAGACATTTGTACTAATTTTTAATTTTTGAAAATTGGCACAACTAATTAGGTTGATGAATTGACTTCGTAAAAAGTGTTGCAGGCGTTTTCACATGACAGGTTTAGATATTGCATTTGCAGTGCAAAATACAAAAAGATATGCAAATTAACTGATGTTCTTGATTCAGATTACAATGTTGGGTTTGAGCCTTTCTGGTAATATTTGCTTTACCATAATACCATAAACCTTTCAGAACCGCATAAAAAGCTTCTAAAAATGGATCTTAAAAATAAAACAATCATAAATGAGCTTTGGAAGATGTACCATTACAAAATCCGATAAATTTTATGTTTATATCGTATTTATTTTATATTAAATATAAATTATTTTATCATAATTTATATTTATATGTTAAATATAAAATATAAATTTTATTTTTATTAAGTTCAAATACACAAACTATTAAAAGTAAATTTATTTGTGCACTAATTAAGAAAATGAGATTTTAAATTTAAAAAAGATTAAAATTTGTAGAGGTAAATCATAAAAAAATGATATAAAATTAAGAAAATAAATAAATAAATTTTGTTGGTAGAAACAAATGGTATAAAAGGAT